ATATTTACATATATTCAAAGTTCACATTACTTATTGGTTACCAAGGAATGCTAATGCAATCATTGTGCTTCATTTGGTCTAGTAGAACCTTTAGATTTTAAAAAGATTACTGAGATGAAGATATCAGTAACAGTGTTTCTAAACAAACAGGTCAATCTTCTAAATATATTTAAAGTGCTTTGTATACACTCTACAAGTGTACTGTTGAGTAAGAGACTTTTTTTTAGAATTATTGGCCCCAATGCAAAGAAAATCACATGCTGAAATGAGTAGCAAATGTTTAAAGACTGCAGGGAATTCCTTTACTCTGCAGCAATATTCATTAGCATAGGCCAAAAAAATGACCAAACCTAATTTTGATTGAGGCCCTCTGCATGGAATCAATACCCAGTAGGGAGTATAGTTTCAACAACGCCCTGAGGGAGTAGTAGTCCTGCACTGCAAGACATCATCAAAGCAAACATATACTCTTTACATAGTAAGTATAAAAAAGGAAGTTCTGAAACTACATAGAGAAAGAACAACATGTAAGCACATTGAATTTAGAAGAAATTGATATTCATTAATTTGGACCAAAAGAAAGATTCCAGGGCATGCTCCAACCTACACTATTTTATTTTATTGTTTTAACTAAAATTAACTGAGCTTCATCCGGGATTCATCTGGCCGTTTCAGATGTCTTAAAGAATTTTATACTTTTTTCAGCAGTGACCAAAAAAACATTTTGACTGTATTTATTTATGCTTTACATTTTCCTTGTGAACATATAGAATTATTTTGGTGTGCTGTTATTTTGTTATTACCACTAGAAGGCTATTATGGCTATCGACTAAAAATTGCTTTAGTTAACTAGTATTTTTGCACATTAACTTTCAGACGTTAGCCTCAAGTTTATGTTCTCTGGGCTTAAAGTAGTAAAGACATTTTTACACGGAAATATATTGTACATGTTAAATTATATTTAGAATATTGTATTTAAGTTGATCATGTTTGTTATTTCTTTAATTTACTGTAATAAACCGTATGACTTATTTTGTGTAGTGTTTGGTACCAAAGATGCTAATAATTCGGAATATTATATTTAACCTTTAAACCACAAAGTGACATTAAAGTGTCTTATACTACTAAAGTACATTACACTGACATTAATTCAATGTATATATATGTGGGCCAATTCTCACTTTGCAAAACAAAGCTAATGCTATGAATAGATGACACGTGCAAAGTTCCATCTTCAAGCTCTATTCAAAAGAAAAAAGAAGCAGGTCCACAAATTGTCAAGATGCCAATGAAGTATTTATCCGATTGGTAGGAATAATGCAAGACTTATTGAGAACAAACTGAGAGATTTGCCCATAGCATTCAGGAAGAAATGCGATTTACAATCCAGACATAAACATAAACATTTTATATTTCTTTTAAATCCCTTTAAAACCAATATTGAATACAACTTTTATAAACACGTTCCCAGGGGTCCGTATGATAAGCAGTGAAGTTTGATGATCTGACCCTCTGCTTTCTTCTGTTTTCAGTCTGTTGCACACACTGTATACCTTTACCTTTTAAAGAAGCAGAACAAAGTTGGATGGTATCACAAGGATTAACAGGAAATGAAGCAAGTTTCCCATCTAATTCCATCGCCTACCCTGGTTCATCTCTCTAGAAATAAAAACAAGAGACACAAAAGTGGTTATGATAAGAAAGAAAACACAATTTTTTGGTGAAAGAACTAAAGCATTGTAACATTTGGAACTAATGTTACTGATGGTTGGGACAGTAAATATGGAGAAAGTTCATCTGAAGGTTTCCAGATGGGCAGACACCCAAAGGTCATCTGTGGTTGGTGTGATCACAAGATGAGTATGTTTTTGCAGGAATTGGTATATAGGAATGTCTGTATCAATGAGATCTGTTTTTGTATCCTTTGTGGAATAGTATATGTACATCATATGTGAGACATATATGTGTGTAAATCCTGTCTAAAGATCCTCTACAATATATATATAGCAGAAACGCTGCCCAACCTGGGCTGCCATTAGTGTGATACAACCTGTACTCTGGTATAGGGCCTGGACAAGCACTGGGGCCTTCTTGGGGCTCTGTATTATAGCTTCCCAAAGTGGATGTGTGTTCGTGTCCACGCAAATGTCTATACCTCTTCCCCCCATACAAATAAATTTATGTGGATGTAGGAATAGAAATTTCCTAATCGTAACCTGTAAAAATTACCAGTTACATTAAAACTAATTAATATTTACCAAACCTAGCATGTTCACTGATTCCCACTTATTCATATCTTATTTAAAAAATTAAAAGCCCTCAAGAGTGAAGAAAGCTTTTGAAAGAAGTAACATTCCATGGGATGAGGGATTAGTATGACATGAGAAGGGGAGCTGGTATGGTGACATGATGTGGGGGAGATGAGGATCAGTCTAACTTTGGTAAGGAAGGAGACTTAAGATGAGTAATTGGCATCTGTAACACCCAAAAAAAGTTAACGCTTTAAAAAGAGCATTACAATTAATCTATATATTGTGCTACCTGATTTCATAGCAAATGTGGCTGCTATGGAAACTACCTAGCACTGCTAGCGCTGGTTAACCAGTATAGGAATGAAGTGACGAGATGTCACTCCAACTAGACGCCGGCATGAGGACATTAAACCTGCTTAAAGACAAGCGCAAGCAGGGCAAATCAGTGAACAGCAGAGAAGGAGTGGGGGAGGACAGGAGGTAGGTTTTACAGAAATATAACACTCACTTCTGTAATGAGATCACCAAGGAGGCCAATGTAAGTGGTTATGTGATAAAATAAGACATTATAGACCAGAATGAAAGACACCTGGTTTGTAAAGGAGAGATCTGTCTTGAGATGCATATTTGAGATCTTGTAAAGTAATATATATTTTTCTATTTATCTATTTAAAATGCATACAAAAGAGGATGACATTTTCCCCATTGTTTCCTTTTAAGTCTATAGGTTTTATGCTATATTTTAATTCTTTTTTTCTCAATAATTTTTTTTAGTAAATAATGCGTATTGAAAAAAAACTATAAATAGTGTGCCTTAAAAAGACTTAAAGGGACAGTAAAAAAACAGCAATGATCCCCACCTTTATGCATTATATAGATACAATAAATAAACATCCTCACCTTCAACATTCCAACTTTTGCTATGTGCTCTTTTCAGACAATAAAGTGGCTCAAGCCAATTGGTAAACGTACATATTTATATCTTATCTCAAAAGCCACTGGTCAGGTTCAGAGGATCTCCTTGCAACCATAACACAGTGAGCATAAATTCTTTCTTGAAGTGTCACTTTAACTGGACTTTTCCTTTAAGAGATAACTGAAATGTGGGAGTTCATTAAATGGACCACACTAGGCATAAAGTTAACCTAATAAATAACATGCCCCTTATAATCCCACAGTTTACTCTCAGGGGTATTAATTAACATTAGGTTAGGTCAATCCTCACATATAAAAACACAGGTCTTTTTGGACGTATTTAATTACACAGGTTTATCTATACAGATATCATAGTATTCTCCCTATTCTCAAGTGTCCTTCCCAAATAACTCTGGACAAACTGCTCCATATTCTCAGCAAAGGCCTTTGTTTTAGGTTAACACCTTAGGGGGTGCCATGGTGGGAGAAGAAGACAGGGATTAGCACATTGAAGGTTAGGTTAATCCCTATAATTTTTTACCTTTCTATGCACACTGTGCTTACTCTGTGAACGAACAATAGCCTTCCATTATTGCTAGGCATGACAGTTCTTTTCTCAAATGAAGCATCATTACCGGGACAGGAATTTTGATATGTCGGATAGGAAGACTATTGAATTGATTGCTTTAGACATGATTATTTTTCCAAAACTGAAATATTATTTTGACAGACAGTCACCAGTGGGGCAATTGTAAAACAATCCTGGAGTACTATCTGCCTTCTTTGTCATCAAAATACTTAATTTAGTCCACCGCTAACATGCATGGCAAAATTAAGCCTAAAATCCCAAACTGTGATTATAGCTAAATTGGAGAAATGTTCCTGATCAGCTACTTTGGCTACAATTTTGCCATTCATATCATAATTCTGAGTTTACTGAATAACCTTGTAAATATTGCAAACTAACGGAGGTTTACATTGTTTTTTGTTTGTTTTTTTAACCTTTTTGACTTTTGTGTTAATCTAATTAAATGAATGTATTCTTAATGATAGGTATAAATTGGGAAAAAAAATATATGATATTTTTAACTGAGAAAAAAAGACATGCAAAACTAAATGCAGTCAAAGTTCCTGCTAAGTAATTTGTTTTGAATTACATCAATTTGTATTTGTTTTATTATCCTGAAATGTGTTAGGAAGCTTATGTCTGCTTTCAGCAAAGACTACACATTCACACATTAAATAAAAGTGAGAAAATATAAATTTCATGTGTGAATTGCACTGGGACCCTAACAGAAGCTGGGGATATTCAAAGGGAGAGTTGCCTCTAATGAAGAGATTAAAATCCAGATGTGGTTTCTTCCCCATCAAAAGAATTAAGGAAATCTGCCATCGCTGTTAACCTAATCATAACAACTATAGTTCAAGAAAATCGAGATAAAATGTGCACAGCCCCCCAAAAGGGATTTTAAAGGGTGTGAAGCTTGCAGAAGATCTGCAGAATGCCTAGTATCACACAGCCTGGTGGAGAATTCACAGTCACATTTTTGGTTATTTGTTCTGAAATCAGTTACTTTTTTTTCTGAATTTCTCCCATCCTTCTCAATCTCTCTCTATGGGATAATTCAACCCAGAGCTAAACGTATATGCGAAAGAAGGCTTTCATTTAGCACTTTTTTTTAAACTCCCCACTTCTCATCCCAAAGCACTGCCCACGTCCCATTGTAGTTTACTTTACACACTCAGTCTTTGGTTTTCTTTAAAAAAAGAGGAGGGGGTGAGACTAGTATGGGAGAGAGAGATAGGGAGAGAGAGGGCACAGCCAGGAGAGCCTGTGATGACAGCAGAGGCAGGCAGTCTTTAAGTGAACAGCCTATGGAGTAGCAGTCAAGCAGTCCTAAGGGCTTGATTTACTGTGTAACATAGAGCAGAGAACTTTTTTTCCAGATCTGTGAAAAAAAAACTATAGAATCTGTGTGGCTCATTGGTAACTCTATTCTTCTACTGCAGCGTTTAGAACCTGCAACTTTTTTTCTTGTTTCTGGATCTTTCCCTAGAAAAGTCCAGCTCTGGAAATTTTGGAATGTTAGGTCGTCTTGACCAAGAAACTTGCTGCAGTTGCTCAAGTGAGGAGTCGGTGACCACTGCCAGTCTTTGCCTGTGAGGTCTGCTGGTATATTAACACAGATGGCTATCAGGGAGCCTGCTTGTCAGATGGATGTCTCTCCTGTGTAACTCAGAGTTAGGAAAAGTGGATGGGTTGCTGCTGTTATTATTACAAGTGACAGATAGCTGGAACACCAGTACCCCATGTGAGCAGGAGCTGGGTTACATTTTGGTGTGTTTGGGCAAGAGTTCCTCTCCTTGGATCTAAGCAGCACAAACTTAGTTTGCCACTTCTATGCAAAATGCTACCAGCATCCTTCCACTGGATCCTGCCTGCTAACTCCACCACAAGCTTTGCAAGACACCCAGGGCATCTGAAAATTGAGAAATAACCAGCTCCTGACCATTAACCCCCTCTGCTCCACTGTGCTTCCTGACAAATTTCTTTGGATTTATTTTTAATCTTTCTGGATTTTGGGGCACATTTTGGATCGACTCTGAGAGCATCATTGGAGACAACACTCCAGACTTAAAAAAAAAAAATAGAGGAGAAAGCATTATAAGGTTACTATGCAATTGCGACTGATTTCTTGGTGTTTTATCATTTTGAACTTCTTGGAATACATTGGCAGCCAGCAGATCCCCAGAGGGAGGCGACATCGCAGAAGTAAGTGCTGTAGCTGGTGCTAGGATTCACCTGCTGTGGGGAGTGTGTGGGTCTTACAGGTACTAGGTGGCAGAGGTCACTTTAAATAGCAAATAAAACTGTATGTGCTCTGTACCTGCACCAGACACCAGCCTAACGCTATGGGATCCGTCCCAGGGCTATAAGGGGTGTATAATAGAATTATAATAAGTTTAACTACTAATATAGCTAGTGACCATTCGTTCTATGTTAGTATTTCTAAGTGTCCAGAACCTCAAAATAGCCCCATGAGAATAGAATAGAATTATAATATTAATTGTAGTATTAGGCAAACTAATATCATTATATTGCTATTTATCATACATTTATTGATTAAAATAATAGTGATGATAATATTAGCATCATTCACAATGCAGTATTTCATTTTGCTTTATTGCGATGCTTTTTTTTATTATTTTTAAACACATTTTGTATTAATAAAATGTAAGCTAGGTCCAGGCATCCTACACACAATAAATGGTTACACACTAAATATTTTCTTACACCACTAATGACTTTCATAGCGCATTATTAGTACTACACACCCAGTCTATATGATTATTATTTCAATATGCATAAGGCGCTAACACAGACCGCCGCGCTGTACACTGTGCTGTGTGCATTACTCCTGAGGTAAGTTATTGATTTATTCATTCATCTAATTTGTACAACATGCGTTCATAATGACGTGATTTGGGATACTGGGTTTGAAATGATATATTTCTTTTTTTCGACATTAAAGTGGACACTTGTAGAATGAGAGATTTGATTGTAAGTTATCCTATAGACTGGGACAGTAATTCTTCTAGGAAACTATTGGTTTCCAGCTGTTCCAGACTGTAATTCCTCACCTGACCTTCAGTCATCTGAAAGTCATCTAAGGATGCTGGGAGTTATAGTTTAATAGCAACTGCTGGGCATGTTTTATATTTATTTTATATATTGTTAACATTTTTTTTACAACAATGCTTATTGGGTAGAAATACATCTATCAATTTATCTATCTATCTATCTACTAATGTATCTATACATCTATTTATGTATCTATCTATCTATCAATTTATCCATATGTCTGTCTCTCTATTACTTATCTATCTATCTGTCTATCTATCTATCTATCTATCTATCTACTATTTATGTATCTATAAATCTTTGAATCTATGTCTATCTATATGTAAATCTATCCGTCTATCTGTCTATTACTTTATCTATCTATCTATCTATCTATCCGTCTGTCTGTCTCTCTCTCTCTCTCTCTCTCTCTCTATCAGAAAGGCATGGACTCTGAAAAGGGGTTCTATCTGGGACTCTAAGAATTTGGGCAGGTCTCAGGGAGGTATTTTATTGAAACCCTTGCACTCTTATCAGATACAGATGGAGTTTTTCTTGGTTTTGTTTTGACTGGGCTAGTTAATACGGGAAACATATACAGTTTCACCTTATGACCGATGGATCTATGCAATTTAAAGTCAGATTAAGCCCAGACCACACCAGTGGCAGACAGCGCCAGGAGAAAGCTCAGTCTTCTATATACACACACCTCCATCAAGAGGCTAAGAATTGCTGCAGCAGCAAGGGCCAATAGCTAACTGTTGCTGCAATCCCACTAAGTCATACTGTAGGTGGTTTACAACTACAGAAAAGCAGCACTAATTATCTCAGTGACCAGCAAACAGTCTTTGGAGTTCATTCATTCTTAGACCTGCCTGGGGCTCAGATTATCTATGCTAATATCCAAGAATCCTCACGTGAAGCAAACCCTGATTTGCCATTTCAGTGTGTCTGCCTCAGATAACAGACTAGCCTTTAGTCAGTATTAATTTATCTTGTTTAAGCAATACAACCCCCAAAGAAGCGTTGAATTGTTTGGCATTGTGGGAGTTAAGTTTATTTGCACAGCTCATCTTGGTGATCTCTGATAATTAGTTTGTAATTGGAATGTCTTTCTCCTCTTGCAAATCCTATTACAAACCAAATCATTGCATGAATGCTTCTGAAGTTCCCTGACTGTAACCAGCATCCCATACATACAATATGTTTGTACTTATCCCACCACATATTTAGTTTCTAGATATCTGATTTAGTTCTTGAGTACTTATTGACACACCCCTTGCCTGCTGGCAGAGATCTGGAGATTATTATTTGCAAAAGAGTTTAGTTTCAAATCAAAGCCATTTATAATACACAATCAAAACTTGCTTAATCTTACCTAATACTCATAACATATTCAGTAATTGCCTTTGGAGCTTACAATCTAATTGCTGAATGCATATTGATTTACCTACTTTACCTAAAGTCATAAATTGCACACATAAGAATCAAATCAATGTTTTTCGGACTGTGGAGATTGAGAATAATTTTTAAAACATTCATACAGGGCTTTAATTCTTATATTTTCTCATAAACACATACTGAAATGAAGGCTTTCAGGGTTATTCTCCTAACTGTTAGTTAAATGACAAAACTGAGGCTAAAATAGTCAAGCTGTAACTGTAGCTGAGTTGGAGAATTTTTCCAAATTGACTGTTTTAGCCTTAATTTTGCCATTCTGATTTAATTCACTAAAACCCAGAGTTTAGTGAATACGCCTGTACAGAAAGCGTTCTAGATTTTAACGATTGCAGCGCAATACTATGTATTTTTTCTTTATGTAAGTCTCAAAAAAGTAATTGAACCTTAGTTCAATGTAGGCTTACAATTTATGTAAACATTGAGATTTCTAACTGAGAAAAAAACCATATATCTATATTTGATACATGTTGTTCTTCTTTTTAGTCCTTAAGATTACTCTACATGAAAACACATTCTCCTTTGAAGGGCCAGCTGCTTCCAATAGTAGATAGACATTATCGGGATTATCTACTAAAGTGTGATTTGTCAGGAATTCAAAATTAATTCCAAGTGCATTTCAAATGTTAGGCCACAGCAGCTAAAGTGAAAAAAAAAATTCCAAGTCAGCTGTGTTTTTCATTTTGGCCTATAATGTAAAATTTACTTTGAATTCACTTGAAATTCCTGACAGTTCACATTGCAGCGAATAACTCTGTGTGTTTGTATCTATAGGAAGTTTCAAGTGTTATCTTGACATGATTTTCAAACTATCACCAGTTCAGCAAGAGCTCTGTCTGTTCCTTTAAAACTGCTTACAGATGCAGCTTGAATGGCGAATAGTGTCTGCGTGAGTATAGCTGTGCCCTCCAGCAGGCAAAACCAACTTGTTTCTTTTAACTGTACTCACTGATCAGATCAGCAGACCTCTCCTTAATAAGCATTTGTAGTCGCAATGTGCTGTGTTTGATAGAGCTGGATGTGCCAAGCAGATAAGCTAAACAAGCGTCTGCGAGAAAGTAGTGATAATCTTTTCTGTATGAACATATGGTAATAAAATCATTGATCTAATAAATCAAAATTAAAAAAGCAAGGAAATTTGCGAGTTTTGTCCCAAGGACTGGGTACAACTTTCTTGCTTAGTCCCAAAAGTCTAGACATATATATAAAGTCTGCAAAAAAAACTTTTGCTGGAAAGTATAATTTTCCCCTCTTTGCTGACTCATTTTGTATACACATCTATGCACATGCAGATAGTCATATGAATTGTGCACGCACAGGTGCACATGAGATGTATGACTGTTCAAAAGCACATGTATTCTCGAAAATCTAAAAGGAGTTGTGCTTTTTTTTTTACATATATGGACATAGGTGAGAATAATGGAATTTTCAAAGATAAGAGAAAATATTTTTTTTTTTTCTGCAAGACACCTCACGGGAAAGCAGAATGAGTTGAATTAGAAAAACCTGAAGCAAAATAGTTTCCTTTTTATTTTTTTTTAATTTATTATTTACTGCATCTATACAACTCTAGAATTTTACCAACTATAAAGATGACTTTTTGCAACAAAATGTTTAGCAAAAAAAAAGTTTTATCTGTCAATGTCTTCCGATACTTCGATTTAAATCATTATAACACATTTTACAGAAGACATTGTAATATAGCAAAAGCTGGATAATACAATATATTACAAATTTATTTGTAATAAGTAGTTAGTATTTTTTTTTGTGCACAATTTGATTACCTTTGACATTTTTTGACATTTTTTTAAGCCTGTTCTCCCATCCATTAGCAAGTTATTCCCTAAGTAACAAATTACAGTGGACTGAAAACCAGAAATCAAACATTAGGCAAAAATAGCCAATTTAGACAAACGATCCGTGCCAGGCTGCCAGCAATAGTCACAGTTTGGCTATTTACTAGGCTATTAACTTTTTGGAGAATAGATGCCTTTTAGGTGAAAATTCCACTTTGATGGTAGGGAAGAAAGCAGGGGAGATCTAGTTTAAAAAAAAAATTAAAACAGTGGGGTTTATTTACTAAACAATGAGCTGACGTGAGCTGGGAACCAACCTGCAAACTTCATGTGTAATATCCCAATTAGAAAACAAGCGGTAGAGAAGAGCTGACGATTGATTAAAGAATACAGTTACAAAATAAGCCATTACGACCATTACAAAAACGCAATGAATTCATATATTCAATAAAAAGTATAACAATGACACGCAAGATGCATTCTAATTATTGCTGTCCACATGCCTTACACAGGAGTACAGTTTATGCGTTCCATCTCGAATTCTCTAGAACTCTACTACACCTGCAGTAGATTTCTAGAAAGCTCCATGTAGGAAGTATACACTTAATTAGCCAATAAAGGTATCACTATACCCCACTTTCAAACTTACATATTTTTTTTTTTTATTGTGGACAATATAAAACCAGACATACAGCATATTCTTGTATATCAGCAAATAGTGTGTTTTACATTTAAAGAGCATGTTTTGATAGAAATTAACGTGTTGGAAATTGTTCTCAATACTCAATTGTCAAAAAAGTTAAAGGAAGGCAGTGAAATGGAAATTAATATTAAAGTACCTTGGACTTCACAAAGTATTGCACTGAGCACTGATGAAACTATATTGTCAATGAAACTATTGCCTCAAACAGTGGTATGTTTGTGTTCCCATGACGCTCCACCAACTCTGAGAATCATGGGAAAATTAGTTCGCCAACCTTTGCCATTCCAACATTGGGCTTCAGAAGTTTATAGCACTTAAGAGTTAAGCACAGTGCACAGTCTCAGGAAGTTAGTATGTTTAGTGAGAATTGAGTGTATATGTGTAGGGGGACAAGGACCACATAGTGATTGTGGGCTAAACCTAAAAGTCAGCTACTTTATTGTACATTGCAGATGCAAATGTATAGAACGATATGCTTGTATAATGAATAACTATTAGTTATCATCACTAAAACCAATAAACTAACACAGTTACTCACTAAAACATGAATTGATTGAAATTCATAAAATTTGGAAGATTTAATAAATAAGTTTGTGTTAAAGGACAAATACAAATGTCAATAGGTGCATGTTGGCAGTCCAGTGTGATTTGATGAAAAGCTATGATCTTTTCTTAATGGCTGCCTTTCTACACATCTATGTGATAAGTCGCTACAGGTTCTATAAAAAAAAAGTCGCCTGTCAAGAGTCTACAAACCGTTGAGTTCTATTTCTTCACAAACCAGATTTACATTATTGTTTTTATATATATATATATATATATATATATATATATATATATATATATATATATATATATATCATAGGTAGAGCGTTCTGTTCCACAAAGAGAAAACTCCTTATATAAAGGTCATGACAGATACTGCAATTCTATGCAACTTTTTTTTCTCAAGAATCTTAAACTGCAAGTTTAAGCCTATAGCCAAATCTGTGGTTTGTACTACCCTCTAGTGGTAAATTCTAGATGTAGTCTCAACAGCGAAGCTACTTGGAGCATACCTAGGGATATGTTTAGGAATTTAGTATACGGTATATAATATTATGGTGGGGATTTAGTAATCCATAAATTGATCATGGATCTGCATTTTACTTTAGGTGTATTCATATTATGGTTAATGTGCAATACATATTTATCTTCAACTCAGCTGTGGACTTATTAGAGCCCTGACAAATATCATATGGCTTCTATTACTTATGAAATCCCCTAAATACACTATTGGGAAATCTACATGACAGTCTGAATACAACCTATTATGTTCTGCAGAACTATTTATACAAGGCTTTTAATCAGTAAAGAGCAAATCATCTGAAATTCTAATGTAACTTTCTTTTTACTTTTTAACATAAAATCGCAATGGGGACAAATTAATTTACCTAAAATACTTGCACTACAAAGTTTGTACCAAAATATAACACTCAAAAATATAATACTATAAAACTGAAAAAAAATAAAATAAATAAGATTTCACAGAAAGTACAGTAGACGACTGGAGTCCAATAAACATAATAGTAGAATATAGATAAGCAGTAAAACATGCCAACAGTATGCCAAGGATGATCCATTTAACAAATAAGAATTAACCTTTTTAAATGTGTACGGGAATTAATGGATGGACTATACTCTTTCTGGGGGTTTTCACAACTTATGAGGGAACCGCAAACTTTGGTCCAAAAATGGCTGAGCTGGTAAACATCTCAAGTTCAGATAATTTTGGCATTTTTGGGATATTTTATCCTAGAATTTGCAATTCCAGCTTTCCATTCTCATTCTCCATTCCATTTGCAAATCTCAGTTTAGCATTATGTTCTAACTGACTGCTTCTTCATATGTGCTATAGATCATAGGTAGCGCCTGTTAATAAAGATTTTTACAAATGGCCAACTGTTTTTCAAAGTTTGCTGCGTTGTTTGGTACATATTACTTTATAACATTTATATACGTTATACATATAAAAAAAATACATTTGGCCAGACATCTTTATAATTATCTGAAACAGAACAAGTTAAACAGTTGTCTAGAAAATGGAGATAATTAGGAAATAAATGTCTTATTTGCCATATCATTGCATTCTCTGTCCATCTGGTTCCTCCTTTTTATCTATGTGGCATTACTTTTGTGTCTTATAATCATAACCCCTTTCCCTGTGTACCATTTCTTTGTACACATTTTGATTTTGTTTCCGCATTTTTCTCATATGTGCAATTTTGTCACACCACCTGTTCATCACGGGACATACTTGCATGTGTGGCATATCATCACATTCAAGTGCATTTTGTGGCCCTCCTTCCCCATATGACATTTTGCTTCTGCCCATTGTCCATAACGTGATAACCCTTCTGATATGTACATTTCCTTTCTCTGTCTGCCCCCTTGTGTCTTTCATTCTCCTTTCTCTTTCTCCCTCATCTAGATTATCTTGGCCATATTGTCATTTTTGCTTGGCCTCTCTGACCCCCCAATTGTCCTTTAACTTTTGGGTCTTTTCCTTAAACATGTAATACCATTATTGGGTTTTTATTCCTCAACTATAATTCTTTTGCACCCTCCCTCCCTTTTCACCTTGCCATTTTTTTGGTCTCTGTGTCTATCTTTTTGGCTCTATATATATAGACATCAAAATCATAACTATGTATCAATAATCCTCTAAATCTAAACATGATGAAAATGAAACAGGAGGCTTGATAAAGTCTCTGATCAATATGTTTTAGACAGAGATGTCTCATCTTGTTTCTGATAATGCTGGTGGAATATATTTCCTATAATACTTGGAAATCTACTTAGAAGTCATCAGAGTTTTTCATAAAACTGGGAGCTGTCAGGGACTAAGCAGAGAATTTAACATGTTAGGCAAAAGTAACCAAGCAGAAAATTGGCATTGGAGAATTTTCCAGTTCAGCTATTTTGGCCTTAAATTTGATTTACCCTGGACAATTCCCGGTGTAATGTAATTCAGTAACATCTGGAGACAAGGTTGTACACTTCTGTTTTAGAATAATACTTTATAAATCTTCACCAACCAGACCCAGATCTGTATTCTCCTCCCAATCATCGGTTGCTGAATATGGATGGCTGGCAGAATTTATTTGGAAAATATTCACTAAGCAGTGAGTTAAAATAATATAACAGCTGATGCTTACGTCAAGTCAGAAGAGCTACAAAAATCAAAGGTGGCAACTTGGCCCAACCTTTGGGGATCAGCTGCCATTTCACCATAATCACTCCATAGCTTAATATCTCTTTCACTCTTCAAATAACACTAATGCTGGATACAAATGTTTGATTCTGCAACAATCTCAAAGTGTACACTGTGCTTTTGTATTGCTTCTCAAATGTTAAGCATGGTGAATATTTTAGATTTTTGGTGAATTACTGTTGTATAACAGTAGAGAAACTGCTGCATAATAAGCATTTGCTAAGCCAAGAACTGTCAAATTTAGTATTACAAATTTTAAGACAAAATAAGTGATTTTTTTGCAGTTCAGTTGGCCTAAAATTTGCAAATTTCATGTGAATTCCCAAGAATTTAACAAAAAATTGTGCTTGAATCTGTTGCACAAACTGACTGCTCCGACGACCAACTCTGGTGATCAATCGATGAGTTGTAGATATCTCCATAAATCTGTTTGCCAGTGCCCAATTTCAGATCATGTAAAGGTTGCAGTCTGGAGCTGCAAATCCTCTTAAGTAATATTAGTAAAAATCTTACATATGGGAATGTATTCACCAGATTAATAGATAATTGATTAGGGAATTGCAAATGTGGGGCCAAACTGGCCAAATTGTAAAAATTCTTCAATTCGGCAATAGTTTAAGCTCATCAAATTGCAGAGCATTTGCAATTATTTTGTCAACTTAATGCATTATCTGTTTATTGAATAACCCTACTTGGTTCCTGATATTTGTTTATAATAGACAGACAGATAGGTAGATAGATAGATAGATAGATAGATACAGACAGATAGATAGATAGATAGATAGATACAGACAGACAGACAGACAGACAGACAGATAGATAGATAGATAGATAGATAGATAGATAGATAGATAGATAGATAGATAAAGAAAGATATTACTGAAATTATGCACATGCAGACAGAGAAACCAAATAACTCTCTGACAGGCCCTGTGCTCCCTGGACAAAGAGCGGACCGGTAAATGCATTGTGAGCTGATGGCTTATAAGTGGGCGTGGCTGACTATCATGGCCATACTTTAGCAATATGCTGAACTGCAGGCCATAGCCTCATTTTTACCTGTCTCAGTTGCAGGGAGTCATGAAAGCAATCGCACCTGGTGTTGCAGGACCGGTGACTCGCTGTCTCATCTCCCTGATTTTTTTCAAAACAACTTAAAGATGCACTGCACATCAATTGGACATTCATATTTTCGTCTTTTGAACCCTTTTAATCATATGTATTTGTATAAAAATATTTATAGTTACATTTTATAGAACACTTCTCATTAATATACATATTAATGAAAAAACTTTCTTTGGTAATTCATGTGACATGAAATTGCTGTTTATATTTGGGTTTCCTTCCTTTCCATGGTTTTCATAATAAAAATTTAATTTAAAAAACATTTCTAAAGAATAAAAGGATCTGAAACACATATTAATAATGTTTAACCCCTTAAGGACCAAACTTCTGGAATAAAAGGGAATCATGACATGTCACACATGTCATGTGTCCTTAAGGGGTTAAATAAATGAATGTTCCTGGCTGTGCGTATATATGTACTAAGATCCTGGATCATGTAGACATATTATTTTTTTCATCCATTAGAAATACTTGATCTTCTAACAGGCAGCTGAATTTCAAACACACATTTGTGAAACAACTTTGAATGTCGGATTTCAAGATTATTAAACATCACATTAGTTTCAATAATATTGAATTTATTGTGTTTTTAATTCATTTTACATTATCATTTTCTCTTTCTAATAACATAGCGGTTAAAATTAAAAAGTTGATAAACTTTATTATTTTAAATGAACAGTTTTTATTATGTTATATTTTAAATTTCAGAGTGTTTTTAGTATGAAACATGGAATAATTTGGATAAATAAATGGAGGATGAAATAAAATGATCAAATTATGATATAGCATCCAAATTTGTAGTAAAAGTATGATGATATTCCTAAAATAAAAAACTATAAAGAATATCATAAAAACAAGAATTATGTTCTGGTAATGGTTGCAGGTGACTTTTTATAAAAGTTAAAGTATATTAAATTCACCCTTAAACATGTGAAGGGTCTTTAAAGGTCATGAAAAAAATGATACTGCCAAAAACTGAACAAAACCATAAATCTGGTTAGTTACAGTTGCATAGCACACAAATATATTTGTAACATTACATATGTTGTTCTGTAAAATTGAACACCTTTATCCAGTGGTTTCGAAAATACAGCACGGTCTAAATAAATTTGAAAAATATCTAGACATTCAGCAGCATCGACTTTGGTGTTCCGGAAGGCGTCTCTCTGACCCATTGCGGCTAGAAGAGAGTTTCCAACTATATCAATCTATGTCATAGTCATAGTCTAGATCTCAGAAGATGGCTTACTACATTCGGTGATGTGGCGTCTCCTGGACCGAGTTGGCACATACTACCATATCATCTTCAACCACTTAGTTAGTTTGACTGGGTGTATTGCTATGCATAAATTCAGTCACATAAATATGTTGCTAAAATTATTTTTTAGTCTAAGCAATGGATAAGCAGACGATGAAAACTTTTGCCAGAGATATTGCATGTAATAAATACCGGAATTATTGTAGCTGTCATCATTGAATGTGTCCAACTTTTTCAGTTCTTATGAAAGTGCCTCTCATTAGATTAATGTGTTACAATCTTCGCAAAAAAAACATCAGTTTGAATAGATCATTTAATACGATTAGTTTTTCAAATACAAAAAGAAAAAATACTTTGAACAGATTTACAACTCCTCTGGATGAGTAGCAAACCTTACAAATTTGTATACATTAATATTGAAAATGAAAAATTATGCTTCACACGTGGAACATAAGTGACTAATTTTGTAAAGAAGAGATTTAGGATACATTGTCAACGTGAATGTCCAAAAATGGTAGCACTGCATGCTAGAAGACTTAACCTTTTTAGCAGTACATCTATCTGTCAGCACTCAAACACTTATTGGAACACTATTGTGTTAGGAATACAAACATGTATTCCTAATGCCATAGTGTTCTTCTTACCATTTAGTTTATCGGACCCCCCCATGCAATTGTTAATAAAAAAATAGATTTATTTACCTTTAAGCCCTCGCAGCAATGAGATACGCATGTGCGGCTTCTCTGCAAAGGCAGCATTTACAGTGTTCAGTCTCCATGGACAGGCTATAGACACCAGAACCACTACATTAAGCTGTAGTTGATCTGGTGATTATAGTGTCCCATAAATGCTGCAAAAACATTGCTTTGTCTACAAAACTGCAATGTTTCATATTGAGGAGTTAAAACTATAGGACCACTGCAGCTAAACCACTTCATTGAGATGAAGTGGTTTGGGTGCCTTAATTGGTCCTTTAATAAACAGTTATAAATAGACAATCAAATGAGCAAAAGTAATTTTATTTATATTTAATATTCCTCACTATGCCAGAATTATCTGAATTCTCCTTTAGCTGGTATTGCAATTTATGGTAAATGATGGTAAAACATAATTTAGAACTACAATATTGAATCCAACCCAGTATTGCACATTTTCAATAACTATGTGGTCATCTACTCACTTTGCTTGATGTTATACCTCAGTTACAATCAGACACTATCCTTCTTAATGTTAATGTCCCTGTTAGAGAGGACAAGTCACAATTATGTTCTCAGTTACTTGAAGTGTTATCATCATAAAACATTGCTTGATTGTTTCCTGCAGCTGACAGCCTAAGAGCAGCAGCTCACATTTTATCCACTGTTTGTATAACACATTCTAGTTTCTGTCTCTAGAGTAACAGAGACATTTAGGGACCTCCAAGGGCATGGCAATATTAATGGGTCACACGTAACCTCCAAAAAATAAGCACTGAAACAAAATATTCAACAGGATTAACACATTTAGCCACATTACTGTTGTTATATTTTATAATCCTGATGCTACCTGATATATGCCAAAATAAGTTGTGTTTTGAACATATTAAGTTGTCCTTATTATTAATGTTAAATTCATACTAATATACATTATAATATTAGTACATAACTGGAATTTTACTAATTGTGACCTGCAAACCTTTTTTAATTAAACTGTTTAACCCCTTAAGGACACATGACATGTGTGACATGTCATGATTCCCTTTTATTCCAGAAGTTTAGTCCTTAAGGGGTTAAATAATTTGACAAATAACAATAATCAAAGGATACACCCCATTTTTCTTATGGTATTATTAGTATGCCCCTTTTATATTGCCCTTGGAAAGATCAAAGAGTATCCCTACAGCTTGGACATGTTCTACAGTTAGTCTTTTTACCAACTGAGTCATCTTATCAGTAAACACGACACAAAATCAAAACAAGGTTTACTTGTAATCAATGCTAAATTTAAAATTCCACGTATCACATTTCCAGTCACACAGTCTTTTATGTAACATCACGCAAACATATGTTGGATTGTGTTCTACTTTGGTGGTTTCCATAACATACATTTTATCCTTCGAACTCTGTTGGAGTTAAACATCATATGTTTTTCAGAGGAAAAGCGTTATTTCGATATTCATGAGATTCCTCTACAGAGAAGGTCTGAATTTCAGATAAAACAAGACCCAAGACATGGTAGAAAGTTAAAGAGCTCTATAAGTATGTTCATTCCATTTCACGTCCATCTGAAAGTCCTATACAACATGGACAGGGACAAACATTGCTGAAATATATACATTTTAGTAAATTGGACTCTGTCCATTATCTAAGGGAAATTCACAAGGATGTTTTTATGTATTCCTCGGTGAACCGTGGATTCTTCATCCAACAGTGAACAATTTCAGTAATTATATCCTTTTCATTCCAGCTTTCTTAGCAGTGTTAGAATAAACTAAACTTGAGAAAAGAAATATCAATACCAAGAACAGGGAACCCAGGATTTCAAGCCTAAGGTGTCAATTAAAAAATAAACCAACTGCAGACCAGGGATTTAATGATGTGGCATGGCAACTTCTATTCTTTTTAGTGTAGAATCCCCTGGTTTCTGTAAGTCTAATATATACTCTTTTGTTATAAACAGCCGGTCTCTAGGAACATAACTTTATAGACTTCAGTCATTCGATAGAATGAAGTATTTTTGGCATCAGGAATATAGATCCACTAATTTTAGCTTTGGCCTTAAATTGTTGAATTGGAGGAGGAAACACTTTGGTGTGCAACGTGAGTCCCCGTGATCTTGCTTATGATTAAAGTCAGCATTATCAGCAGATTCAAAGAGATTTTCTAGGTTTATCATTGTATGACTAAATCTAGACTTTATTTTTCACACCTTTGTAATAGTTATCTGAGTCTTTAATTACAACTGCAAACTGATCATGTAAATTGGGTAAGACAAACATATTACAGGGTGGTATAAAGCACTAGTAATTTAGTGTCCTGTTTGATGTCAGCATAAGTGATTTTGTAAGATCTGGTTTAATGCTCCAGATTCTTTGGTGACAATCATGCTAACCACAGAAAAATTCAATCATTAATAGAGTACCCACCATGCAATGTACTACCATGTCCCACCACTCCCACCACAAGCTAAATTCCCACACTACAAAGTAACTGAACCTCATGGCATTAGGAGTGGTGTTTATTCATGGTGGGCAAAAATAGTGCTTATTCATAGTGGGCACAAATGGTGTTTATTCAAAATGGGCAGGCCACATGTATCAGAGATATAGTCGATGGACACATCATTCCTTTTGAATCAGTGCATCCTGGAAAACAGGATATCCAGTTAGGCCAGACAACAACAGATTACCTATTGATTAATCTAGGCATGTGTATAAATTGACAGAATAATATTTATAAGGCTGGTTTATATTAAAGTATGAATAAAATATATTTCTTTACCTCAAAGACCAGTAAACACTCACGTCTAGGATCAGGCTACAAACAATGAAAGCAATCAGCATCATAACGTGAATGAACACTGTAGCATTAGGAATACAAATCTGTATTCCTAACGCTACGTGTTCCTGTCCTTATTCTTGTTCAGGTCTTCCTCCCAGTTGCATTCAAATTTAAAAAGAAATTAAGTTTTACTTACCTTTTTCCAGCGCTGTGCCTTCCTAGGCGGTGCTCATCTCTCCGTCTCCTGCAATGTCACAGAGGAGGCATGGACTCCTCCACCAATTTTCAATCCAATACTTCTCATGCTTCAATCAATGTTTCCTATGGGGCTTCCACCTCACGTGACCAAGTTTTACTCCTTCATCGAAGTGGAAGTTTTTTTATTTTGGGTAGTAATACATAACTACAATGATGCTTTAATTAGAATGACTTTTTATTGTGTACTCTTTCTTTCTATAAAACTTTAACATAATAATTTTATCCTTTACTACAACCATTTTTCAGTTTATCTGCATATGTTCGAGTGAGATGTATCTATGCAGACACTGCCCTTTCTAGAGTAGCATGTCCCTAAGCTATTTGTATTTTGTAGGACCTTTACGGGTATGATGGTGGAAACAGATTATCTCTCAGTGTCTATCTCTTACTGCCACACCAGTTAATCCAGCAGTTGCTTTTTCTTCATCTTTCCAAGACCACAAAGATTAAAACGCAGAATCTGAGGCAGACGCGAAAAGTGAAGTCCTAAGCATGTCCCAAATCACGAGACTAACCTATGATTTCTTATAGAAATAACATAGTGTGTTAAAATGATATCATGGTGATAACTCTAAATCGAAGATCACATAGCTCAGGTACTGGATTCCTTTACATAGTTCACATAAATCCCGAAAACTGCCAACTGATTCCTGCTAGATGAATAACCTTTATGGGCAGTTAGTACAATATTGAGAAATCTTTCAGGAATATATAAGGATATGGGGGAGGCTTTCAGCAATGGCAAAGAAATACAGAGTCTTATCAAAGTCATTATAACTCTGCTTGTAATCCTGGGTTCATCCATTGGCATGGTCAAGTTACAGTGTTTCTGCCTCCAATTCAAGATAAAATATTTATTTTTATCTACAAGATCTGTAATGTAACACTAGTGCTTAGATACTAAACTGGGTTTATTAAAGGCTTATTAATATGATAGTGTGTTTAATGTAAATTTATGTACCCGTGTTTGCCAAGTGATGCTTTTGGATTTCCGAGGTCTGGCTCAAGCTATGAAAGGATACCACAATAGTGTCTGGCTGCTGTAAATAGATAATAGGATAGGAACTATCAGCAGGGATTTCATTGACAATCCATTCAATTATGGTGGAAAACCTAATGGGTTTTCTTTTCAGTAAAATTGAAAGGAAAAAAAAACATACATATTTTTAGAGGAGACAGCACAGCAAATTCCCTGAATATACATATTGTCATTTTGCAAAAATGCCAAAAGCATGCTTAGCCTGCTGGTATGTGAAATGTAAATCTGTGTAATACATGCCTCCATTTCCTTAGGTCTAGAATGGCAAAAGTGAGTAATCAATCTGGATTGGAATATTCATTTTTATGTTATATAACACAAGAAAATCTGCAATTTTTATGAGATAGTTAAAAAAAACAGTTCAGGCACTATAACAACTTAATCTAAATGAAGTTGCTATTGTGCCAGGAGGCCTCCGGGCACACTCTTACCTCAAGAGGTTATATTGTTCTTGAATGGTTTAACCCCTAAGTGAGCCTTATCCCAATTTCCCCCTGGAATCTGGCTTCTGAAATCTCCATTTCAGGAAGCGTGGAGTGCCACCGGAGAGGGCCGATGCTGATTGGCTGAGAGCAGTCAGCTGACGCTCTCAGCCAACCAGTGATTCCCCATTCCTAAAAATGGCTTGAAAAAGGTATGTTTCTTTTCAAAAAGTACATTACTTCCTTTAAAACAAAGTAGAAAATCTTCCCAAAATCATTGTTTTCGTGCAAAAGATAGAAGCAGGGAGAGATTTATTTAGCACTACAATTTAGAAATAAATCCTTGTAGAAACCTAATATGCATTTAAATTACTTAGAAAGCTTAATGATATTTACCATATATGGATATTTTGCCCAAATATGCAATGAATAACATTTTTGGAGAATGAGTATTCCCAAATACACCAGCAGATCCTTCTTAAATACTATATATATATATATATATATATATATATATATATATATATATTTATATATATATATATATATATATATATATATATCAATAGTGTATTTGTACCCTAAACTAAAATTGTATTAGATCCATATTGGGTCAATCCAATATACTGTGATATTGGTGTTTAAACTAACTGCAAATGTAAAGGGTTACTCCAAGATCATAACCACTGCAGCCTGCTGTAATTGCTATGATGCGAGCATAACGCTGGCCCAGTTTCACGGTAATGGGGCAAATCGTTTAGGAACAGGTTTACCCCCTTAACTAGATATATACACTGCTCAAAAAAATAAAGGGAACACAAAAATAACACATCATAGATCTGAATTAATTAAATATTCTTCTGAAATACTTTGTTCTTTACATAGTTGAATGTACTGACAACAAAATCAAACAAAAATAAAAAAATGCAAATCAAATTTTTCAACCCATGGATGTCTGGATTTGTAGTCACACTCAAATGAAAGTGGAAAAACACACTACAGGCTGATCCAACTTTGATGTAATGTCCTTAAAACAAGTCAAAATGAGGCTCTGTAGTGTGTGTGGCCTCCACGTGCCTGTATGACCTCCCTAAAACGCCTGTGCATGCTCCTGATGTGGTGGCGGATGGTCTCCTGAGGGATCTCCTCCCAGACCTGGACTAAAGCATCTGCCAACTCTTGGACAGTCTGTGGTGCAACATGACGTAGGTGGATGGAGCGAGACATGATGTCCCAGATGTGCTCAATTGGATTCAGGTCTGGGGAACAGGCGGGCCAGTCCATAGCATCAATGCCTTCATCTTGCAGGAACTGCTGACACACTCCAGCCACATGAGGTCTAGCATTGTCTTGCATTAGGAGGAACCCAGGGCCAACCGCACCAGCATATGGTCTCACAAGGGGTCTGAGGATCTCATCTCGGTACCTAATGGCAGTCAGGCTACCTCTGGCGAGCACAAGGAGGGCTGTGTGGCCCCCCAAAGAAATGCCACCCCACACCATTACTGACCCACTGCCAAACCGGTAATGCTGGAGGATGTTGCAGGCAGCAGAACGTCCTCCACGGCATCTCCAGACTCTGTCACATGTGCTCAGTGTGAACCTGCTTTCATCTGTGAAGAGCACAGGGCGCCAGCAGCGAATTTGCCAATCTTGGTGTTCTCTGGCAAATGCTAAACGTCTTGCATGGTGTTGGGCTGTAAGCATTTGTGGACGTCGGGCCCTCATACAACCCTCATGGATTCTGTTTCTGACCGTTTGGGCAGACACATGCACATTTGTGGCCTGCTGGAGGTCATTTTGCAGGGCTCTGGCAGTGCTCCTATTGTTCCTCCTTGCACAAAGGCAGAGGTAGCGGTCCTGCTGCTGGGTTGTTGCTCTCCTACAGCCTCCTCCACGTCTCCTGTACTGGCCTGTCTCCTGGTAGCGCCTCCATGCTCTGGACACTACGCTGACAGACACAGCAAACCTTCTTGCCACAGCTCGCATTGATGTGCCAACCTGGATGAGCTGCACTGCCTACCACTAGAGTGAAAGCATTGCCAGCATTCAAAAGTGACCAAAACATCAGCCAGGAAGCATAGGAACTGAGAAGTGGTCTGTGGTCACCACCTGCAGAACCACTCCTTTATTGAGGGTGTCTTGCTAATTGCCTATAATTTCCACCTGTTGTCTATCCCATTTGCACAACAGCATGTGAAATTGATTGTCACTCAGTGTTGCTTCCTAAGTGGACAGTTTGATTTCACAGAAGTGTGATTGACTTGGAGTTACATTGTGTTGTTTAAGTGTTCCCTTTATTTTTTTGAGCAGTGTGTATGTATATATATCAATATGGTATTTGTCCACTTCTATTTAATTGTTTTCATACTTTTTATAATAAAATGTTGATTTGTCACTTTTATACTATTGTCTATGTACAGAAAGCTAAATATACAGTATAATAATCCCTATTACTTAAAGGGACACTATAGTATTAGTCACCAGAACAACTACAGCTTAATGTGGTTGTTCTGGTGAGTATAAGCATTGCCTCCAGCCATTTTCATGCAAACACTGCCTTTTCAGAGTAAAGGCAGTGTTTACATTGCCCCTAGGGACACTTCCAAGTTGCTACTCCTCAGATGGCCACTGGAGATGCTTCCTAGGTTAGTGCTGCACAGTAGGCAGCACTGCCATTCTCCATGCTCTGCATGGGGATGCTGAATTTTCCTCATGGAGATGCACTGATTCAATGCATATCTACGAAGAAGTGCTGATTGGCCAAAATGGCATTTGGCCCCATCCCCATCCCACCTCCTTGCTGATTTTAGCCAATCCAATGATTTCCCTATGGGAAAGAATTGGGTTGGATAGAAATTGGCAATTCTGATGATGTCATTATGGAGGCGGATTGGGGCGGGGCCAACACAGGCAGAACTGCACGGTGCTGGAAATAAGGCGAGTTTTAATTTCTTTTAAGGGCCCTGGGCAAGCCACCTAAATGGTGGGTTTAACACTTTAGGGTCAGGAATACATGTTTGTGTTCCTGACCCTATAGTGTTCCTTTAATGTCTAATTTGTTTCTTAACATAAATTTATGGTGAAATGACCTCTAAAGAGCAAACAAAAACTCGAAAAAACTGTCAACTCAACTAATTTTTTCTTTTCAACTTTCTTCCTTAAAGGGACACTGTAGTCACTATAAGCATTTCATCTCTTTGAATTGGTTATAGTGCCTGGAGTGCCCTGCCATTGTCCCTCCATTCAGTGTTGATCCATGTTTGTGCAGTATGCCACAAAATAATAGTCCCTGGCCACCCACAGTCCGGCCCCTTCAGTATGTGTAGCTAAGGCAGAGATTACACACTTCCTTGTTGTCATACCCATCCATACTGTCAGTTGGAACTCTGACAGGCTAAAAGCAGTCAGCTGACACTCTCAGCCAATCACAGCTGCCCATTGCTGCTCAGGCTAATACTTCCTTATTAGCCAAAGCAGCACAGAGGGGATGGATTGCCGGCGACTCTTGTTTAGCATTAAAACTTTAAAAACTGTTTAATGCTGATAGAAATGATGGACCAGAGGACTCCTGACACTATAACCAGTTTAATGAGATGAAGCAGATACAGTGCCTACGGTGTCTCTTTAAAGGTTTTCTCCAAGCACTTTGACCACTTCAGTGATTTGAAGTTGTCATGGTGCCTGAAGTCTGTATGTGCAGCATTTCACTTTGAAACACTGCACATACAGAGATTAAACCCTCTGCTGCCGGAGGCGTAACTCCACATCTGGCATCGTCATAGGGATACAATCAGCCAGCCTGGAACTAGAGTTCTGTCAATTCTGTGCAACTTTCACAGCAAAGAAGCACAGTCATTGGCTGTCAGCTCTGCATAAGTTAGAAACACATCACTAGACCACCAGGGAGCTTCAGTGCACAGCGGGGATCTAGTTAAGGGGGTAAACCTGTTCCTAAACGATTTGCTCCATTACCATGAAACTGGGCCAGCGTTATCCTCGCATCATAGCAATTACAGCAAGCTGCAGTAGTTACGATCTTGGAGTAACCCTTTGCAGTTAGTTTAAACACCAATATCACAGTATATTGGTTTGACCCAATAAGGATCTAATACAATTTTAGTTTATTTTACCTGATCTTTATTCTCTAGCCAAAATATGAAACATTGAGAAGTCATTTTTTTCTTTCTTGCTTTTTTTTCATACTCAGTAAAAGCTTGCATAATACTGTTTGGTCCTCAGCCATTATTTTTTTTCACTGCTCATTTTCTTGTAAATATTTGTAGTAATCCTTTCCATTGAGATTAAACAAAGTGTAAGTAGCGATGCCTAAGCGATAGCTCATATTAATGTTAGTTACTGCAAAAGCCATATGCCTTGAGAAAATGGCTTAATACTTTCAATAGAAAAAAAAACGCAGAGTGTGAAACCAAAAGAAAGGCTCTGTAATGTGGTGTAATGTGAGCTGTGCCGTGTTATCATTAGATACAAAAATTGCAAATGCCGCAGACTGTTATTCTAACTTGTGTTGCTTCACGGTCTGCATGAAAAATGTGTTGGTAAATCACATAGAAAGAATGTGGACTCTTTGAATCTGTTTTGTTAATTTAATAGAAGCCTTGACTGAAAACTCAAAATATGCACTAAAACAAATAAAAAGGCACAAATGTCCATATATATATATATATATATATATATATATATATATACATATGTGTGTGTATTTAGATATATCAAACAAATCTATCGTTTTTACCTATGCAACAATTAAATAACATTTGTTGCATTGCTTAATAAAACCAGGAGATCTGTATGCTCTGGAATATATCATATTCACTCACATCTCATTTTTGTAGGTGGCTGTAACGTGTGTTGGGGGGAGGGCACCTCGCAGATGAGAGAATGATTAACTGCACACATTCTCTCTTGGAGTGGATTGAGAAGAGCTGAGCTGAAGATGAAACATAACATTAACATAATAAAACATTAAAACTAATTACCAGCAATTAGCAAAGTCTTCACAAGGTCTTGTTTAAATGGACTACTGTTTTACCTATGAACTTTATTAATGTAACCTTATTGTGGTTCACGATTAAAGCAGAACAGTCCAATTTGAGTATTTTTGAATCTGGGAATTCAGCAAATTAAACTAATTATAGCCAGGACCATTTTTAAAATCCATGTCCTGTTTTCAGATACGTTCTTTAATTAATTTCACTCTGACATCACAACAGTCTTATGAAAGGCACAATCAGGGCAGATTATGTAGATCAGTGTATGTTACATCATTTCTACATCATCATATACAACTTCTGAGTAAACTTCGTAAACATCTGAGAACAGTCAGCACTGAAGAAGCATGCTCGTTTTGGCCAAACTACATGACAAAAACTAAAAATTGACATCAAGCCAAGGTCAGCGTATGTTTGACTTCCCAAGCTGACAAAAAGTTGATCCATGAAGGAATTATGTATTGTATTTTAATAAAAAGCAGGAAACTGTTAACATTATTTATTAAACATGGAAGTGCCCTGCCAGTCAGCAGAGGCAAGCTGATTTTAAATAAGCATATGTTTGCTATTTAATAACGTATTGAAAATCTAAAATAGAAATAAAACTATGACTCTTTAAAGGGGCACTATAAGCACCATAACTATTTACAGCTGATAGTAGTTAAGTGTTATGAGTATTTTGTGTGCCAACCCTTTTGTTTGCTTTTAAACTGTTTGGAGTGGTTTGACACAGAGTGACCCAGTGCACACATTTTTTTTGTGAACCCTTTCCTCCAAAGGTAAATTGGATTCGGAAATAGGAGAATTAGCGTATATTGAAAGTGGGTTCATTGCAACCAACCTTACCTATAGGTTTTTAAGTTGCAAATAAGCATACGCCATGTGCCAAGGGCGACCATACAAAGGAATTATCTCTGCCTTATCTCTTATTTGTAGAGAGGACACTAAGACACTAAGAGAAGAGAGTGTTCCGTCCCAATTCTCTCTCACTGCTTCTCCCTTACACTTATCTGCAGGCACATGGGTCAGGCCACACACCTCTCAAAGTACATTGTTAGTTTGAGCTGTTCACGCAGCCTTGGAAGTCAAAGACGGGTTCCATAGCTCTGTTGCTCCTGGTGCAGCTGCATCACCTGCACCACTGGTAGTTCCACCCTTATTTTGAGAAAAACTGGCACCAGCGCAGCGTCATATCTGTCTGACCTCTCAGAAGATTTTTTTTCTGCTTTATTCAACTTGAGATCTTATGTAAATGTTCCCTGCAACAGTTGGATTGCTTTCAGTGGATATTGAGGAAACAAATTATCTACGTGTTTCAAGGGTATTTTCAGATTCCCCTTGACTCGAGATAAAACAAAAGTATTTCAGAAAAAATAAACAAAACAAACAAACAATGTTTAGCCAAACCTCCCTTGAAAGGGGAGAGGACTTCTGCTGCTAAAGGTAAATTCACAGGGACACAATTTCAAACAGCTAAATAAATTTAATAAAATAAATCAAAGCACAGCATGAATACAAAAATGTCAGGAAAAAAAAGCCCCAGGAAACAACAAATGTGTTTCGTGCCACATATTTAATGTATTTCTCCAAAATACATGTTTATAGATTAATGTTATTCTGTTGGCGCTATATAAATGGCAATAATAATAATAATGTTGGAGTAAAGACAAGACTGTTTTTATGACACAAACACAGATGTCAGAGTAAACCACTCCATGAAACATAATAATTGCATATTAATATAATATTTTTCCACAACTATTACATGTGAGTTGACTTCACAAAGGGTAGAAAGTAAGTCCTTTCAGATGGCATTTATTATATATAAATATATATTAGAAACCAATGGTGATAACATCTAAAATCTTACAAGGGCTTTGCGTCGTTCAAACCATAGAACTCTTGTGCAACAAAGGTGTTAAGAATTATAAATGGCACATCGTTACACAGATAGTATGGAAAAAGAACATGGAGTAAATGAAAGAAAGATGTATCTGTACTCTACCAGGATACAACAGAGTACAGGGAGACAGTCTGTCTCTACGTGATTCACATGTCACACAACTAGGCCTGAAAGAGTTAAAATAATTTAAATACATTGTCTACTGTAGTGACCATCAACATGTTTTCATTTTCCTACATAATGTTTTATAGATGTGTACTAGTAGCTACAGATGTTTCACACAAATGTTGGTAACTCTGTCCTTTTAGATTAATTTTGTTTTATTCTTTAGAAGTGAATCCTAACTTTAGTTGGAAAATGCCAATGAGGTGGTCCCAATTAATCTCACATACAGTTTATACATGTCAGTGCAGACATAGAATCCCAGACTGGTACCACAGTGGATTATAAATGATTAAATATTATGTAATTGTATGGAGTTGCTTCCCAAAATATCTCGAGATGCATAAAAATATCTTATAAGACAAATTATTATAAGAGTTAAAAAATATATAACTGCATAAAAATAAAAAATATATATAACTCTGTAATATCTTCTAAAAACAAAAGCATAACACGGGGTGGGGAACTTTGTAAATTTCTTGGTTTTGCCTTCTGTTTAATATTGGAGGTGGAGGGGCAAGGTCTGGGGGCTGCAGGTCTTGGTGTCTGGCAGGGGAGGATGATATATGTGCACTTGGCTGAAGGAATCTGTGCTTCCAGCTCCCTCACTGGCATTCTCCACTGCTCCATATGGAATGCTGCATGATGCAATGTCATGTCCCGATGCCCTTTTATAAATACAGTGTGCGCTAAAAGGCAGCATTAAGAGGTCTGTGCAGCCGTATATATTAATACCTACAGTATATACTGGTTGAGGAAAGGGAAAGTAGAATAACAAGAAAAAGATACAATATTTAGGAGATATGCTGCACACAAGCAAAGTAACAATGGAGCGCTGTAGTAGAGGTCCACAAACCCCCAGCGACACAATGAACACAAATCCACAGCAGTTTAGTGTGAAAAAAGGTCAACTGGCTATAAGGACAAATAAAAAATTACAACATTTTGACCCTGATGCCCTAATCATGTCTAGCCAGACAACCACACACAATGGAGAGATTACGTATACAGAGCAATTTAAAGATTCCATATGAGAAATATAATAAAACAACTATAGGTCTGGAAGGTTGAGCACACAGCTCACTTGTCAGTCTGGGCCACTAATTATGGACCCTTGGGTATCACTGAGTTTTACTCTTGACAGACTTCAAATCACTGCAGCTGAGTACGATCATTTACCAGCGGCCATTTAAGGGGCTATGTGCAGCAGTGCAGCTCTCACTTTGAATGCCTCACATAGCTCATCTGTGGCCCCAGTTGACAGAGGGGACCCTTAGGAATCAGTGATACGTGGGGCTCCCTGGTACCAGTAGGGATTTGACCTTGTTGGTACTTTTAATGAATGAGGGTAGTACCATCAACTGCCATTTACCAGTGGCTCCAGCTCTGCTTCACTGAACTTCTCCTTTTTAGTTCTGCTGCACCCATTATAGAAATTTGAGGCCTCAGTTTGTTTCATACAGGACTGAATCTCTGATGTACTTTTCAAAATTGCTGCTAGCATGTGCAATAATATATTTCGGTAACCAAGCTAAGAACCTCTAGACTGCATCTATTTTGAACATGGTCCTCATCAACCTCTTGTTCCTGTAACAGTTTGTAATTGTCCCATTTATTGTTACATTCCCCCCTTTATAATATTGTAAATTACTGCGGAATAAGTTGGTGCTATATAAATGACAATAACAAAAATTCAAATAACTCATGAGTACAATGTGTGCAAATATGTGAGTTGAAGTTCAAGTAATTTGGAAGGAATTTGCTATTTGATGTCAATTTTGAGTAAACTACAACAGAGTATGTGAAAATATATCACACAGTTCAAAAATCATGCAAAATGGGAATTGGTCACTAATGACCTACAGGATGTGAATAGGGCTGAGTATTAGGTGTACATGCATGTATGTATAGACAGACATACAGACAAGGTGTGTCTATAGTTACAGAGCTATCTATCAATAATTACATTGCTATGCTTTAAAGTTTCTTATTTCAAAAATCTGTGTGGCCTACGTGATATTTTGTTTCTCTGTGAATAATGGCAATGTGGTTGATACCTGGAAAGTCATCAGTTAATCAGTAGAAGCTCAGATATAATATTGCTTGACATACTTGGTATATTTTGGTCAGGACATTATAAAACTCCATAATTTCTGTTTTCTGGATGATTGAGAACAGGCATGAGTTCTCCTAAGAGAAGTAGAAATGACAGATGTTTTAAACAACTCCTGTTTCCTTTAAGCACAATGCGGAATGCTCACTTTCCTGTATTTGGTTAACCTCTTATGTGCCAGAGATTTTTTGGTAACACATCTGGCAGGCAACAGGTTATTTATTTTGATACATTCTCAGTAGACCAACAATTACTGATTGTGTCTAACACTTGGAGAAATAAGCAAAAGGTTATACACTGAGGACACTTTATCACATGTTGTTATCTGAGCCACTAGTATGAATGAGATTAGATCGTCTGCATACAAGGTTAGTGTTAGTTATTAGGGCTGTGAGTGTATTTTTATCACTATAAAAAGTAGATCATTAAATATATTGGGTTACACTATTGTTGTTCTTTTCTATGTTTACATCTCATATTAGACATCAATAACAGAACCAGAACCGATTGCCCTCTCATCTTACGTCTGACCGTTTGTCCATCAAAGAGAATAACAGATTGACCTCCAAAACACACTATCTCTAGAAAGTTTTACTTCACTACTAAAAAGACTTTTCTCTTTGAACATATACTGCACTTTGTATTCAAGTTGTTAGATGTAAATCTTGTACATCCACTTATTTATGTGATACTCATATTTATGTATTTGTCGCAGTTTGTTTTCTACTACCACCATTGGTTGTAGTTGACATACATTTTAGGGCAGGCCCAAGCTAACTGAGCTTTTTTGATACAGCAAATGACATGCAATCTTGTATAATTGTTTCCAAGAATCATCTGTGGTTACACAATCATTAATTTCGCGCCTTCATCCACAAAGTAACAAATTGGCATTCGCTGGCAAGCATTTCTACTTAAAAAGTAATCAACAAGCTATAGCTGGCCACATACATGAACACAAAGCAAAATAGTATACTATTTATTTATGTTGTTTATAGAAATCAGTCTGCATTTTGCCTGCCCATTTAACTAAATGTACAGACACTGCTAAATGCATCTGGAGCTGACTTAAAGCAGTCCACTAATCACTATTAAACGCCAACCAGATCCATTTGTTGGCAATAGGTCTCAGAATAGACACTCTACTAGCTTTACTGTATATTCAGTGTGTGCTGGACTCTATTGGAAGCTCCAAGACAGCATATCAGCAGAGTGTACATAACAACGCAATCACTATCTGCCTTCTGCTAGAAAAAGAGACCTGCAATGCTTCTCCCTCACCTGGGTTGCAGAGGTTATTGTATAGAGCAGATGCCTATGGATTCCACCATTCAATATTAAGGATTGTGTTTTGAAGGTTATTCAAAAGTACAGGTCTGCAGGACCCCATATAAAGGCTTGGTCTGTATTGACAACAGGGGCAAGTGTAATTTGTTTTTCAAGATAAAGAATTGGTCAGGGGATAACCATAAAATATGAATATGCATTGAAACAGTGTCCAGTCCCCCTTGAAATGTTTTTTTTCCAACACATGCAAAACACTTTGGTGCTCCCCAAAAATAAACATAATATCTTTTCAGCTAAGTCACAATTTCAAGAACTCAAGTTATACTTTTGTCTTTTGCATTAGAATAGATTTTTTTTTCTTTTTTTAAGTGTTCAAGAATATCCATAAGAAACTCTCTAAAAAGTAAAGGCAACTAATGACATAATTTTTATTTTTTTTTAAAAGGAAAATAAATTATATTTGTCAGAGGAAATAATTTACCTATATATATTTTTTAACTTCAATACATCAGAGCTTTAGATGATGCATGAATACTATATTAGCCTTTTTAATGAGCCATATGCTATTTGCATTTGCTGGTAATCCCTTGAATGGAGACATGGTGGAATGTGATACAGTATGTGACACAGTCCTTCATTGCAGATCTAGAGATAGAAACCTATGGTATTAACTATCTAACATAATGCATTATTACACATTACATTAGACATACTTGTTCTCACCTCTAAAAAGTTTTATTTATATTTCCATATAAGGTACAATTGTGCCTGCCAGTAAATCACATATATAAAAACATAACATCATGTTATACAGTTTATTGAAATATAATGGGCATAAATTATTTGCAAAAGAAAACATAACCTTTCCACGTGACAGATGTAATGTGTTTCATTACTTTTTTTGTAAGAAAGCCCTGACCCTTTTGCCCCCAATCCACTACTCCATCCATTTATTAAACACAAAGAAAACATAAAATACCTTACACTTAGTATATTCAACACAAATACCTGCATTAAATAATGCAAAAAAAAATTATATATATATATATATTGGTGGAAATTTTTTTTTTAATGATTTTAAATGTAAAATTATTTAAAATGTACAAGATCCAAAGATAAAAAATAAATGTTCTCTCTTTCACCCTTGAAGTATATGTTTCTTCTGTTTATCTGTATTATTTCATTTTTAATTTTTTTTCTATTTATGTTGAGCTGCTTAGTGGTATTTTACAAGGCATGAGTTATTGGCAAAAAGTTAAACAGTCACGCAGAAAAAATGTCAACATAATATGGCAGGGTGATTATACAAATGCACATAAATGGGTTGAAGATGAATATGAAGCATTTATTGAAAATCTAATTACTTCAAACTAACACTTTCATGGTTATTCCCTAAAGTAAGAATTGCTGAAAATTTAAAGTGGATTCAAATTGATTTTAAACTTGAAGGAACACTCTGAGCACTATAACTCCTACATCAGAATAAAGTTTTTATGGTGATAAGAAGTTCCTGGCCCTGGGTTAAACCCCAAGGCATTGAACCCATTTCTGTTTAGCTCCGCCCCTCTCCTTCCATTTTGTCCATGACTTGAGTCAGGAACCCTTGGATAAGCCGTTTCTGATTGGCCAAGAGCTTCAACTGGCTCTCTTGGCCAACAAGTTGCTTCTCATCCCCAAAATGGCTTGAAAAACATACATATTTTTCAGGTGTTTTCAGGATAAATAACAGTGAAAGAGATTTGTATGCAAATGAAAAAAAAAAAATATATATATATATATATATATATATATTCTGAACAGTTTCAAAGAAAGTTTGTTTTGGCAGGGTTCTTTCTATCTATTTTTCCTGGATGTCATACATGTTTTATTAGAATTAAATGTTTGTCTAGTGTACCTATGGTACGACGTTGCAAAATATGTCGGCGCTATATCAATAATTGTAATTGTAAAGAGGAAATAACATCATACAATTCCTGGAGGGGGGTTTGCATTGCTATGTGTATTATGTGTAAGTAGACAATACTGTAGCCCATGTGGAGTCGTAACCTTTTTATGCATTGTTTCAACATATTTGTTTCATCCATCAATCTTTGATTCATGTAAAGTTTTAGCACTCCATCTGGAAGTTGCTCCCATTAATCTCTTAATGTCCTCAGGGAAGGGCAGTCCTTAAAGTTCACACTCCCCTGAGGTTTGGCCACATGGATATTATTTCTCCTGGCGGCTGAGGAATGGCTTATTCTAAGCACTTTAGTCATGTTTTTTTACAATAACCAACTCTTAATCGCCAGCAGAATAATATATAGTATGTCATTAAATACGTATACTGACAGACGCAAATAAAACTAGCAACACAAATGTACAACATGCACTAGATTCATTTATTATTAAGGAAGAAACAAGTTGATATCAATACTATATTCTTAATGAGACCTCTGTCTACCTCGATATTTTAGGGATGTGTTGCTTTAATAGTAATTGCTGGGTGCTTACTTGTATGAAGTGAGTAAGTATACCAAGGACAAAATATTTACTTGTGATGAATAATACATATGTATGCAATTATTTACAGTAATTTAAACACGTAATAATTCTAATTGTACTTTATGGATTTATTTACACTAAGCATTCTGAGATGAACACCACCATCATCAGGCAAGAGAGACAGATGTCTCTAAGACTCAGAGGCGGACTATATAAGTGAGTTATGTGGGGGGGCATGTTTTGGTTGTAGCATTACACGATTACAACATATATCTTCACAGGGTTCTCTTAATTTGGCTAATAATATTTATATATTCCCTAGATAATAAACCTATCCCCATATTTTGTATATAATAACAATAAAAATGCTTAACTTAAATCCATGAATGTTTTCATTGTGGCTTTATCTACTAAATAGTTGAGTATTCCTTTAACCAGTTCATATGAGTTCCTTTGCTTAGATTCATACTGGACCGTAAAGAGTATGTTAGAAAGCTGAGTCTAAGCATATAAACTGAAGTCAGGCAGAAGACTGAAATTGTATTTTTGCATGTTTGCACTTTTGTTGCCCTTTGTGCATCAGTGATCAATTTAGACGGTGATTACATGGAGCATTAGAGATAAAATATGATAATGACATGTACACTATCATGTTCTCTATCTTTTCCATGATACGCACAATTTTTTCCGCATCAACAAAATCCTTTAAATCAGATCAAATGCAAATTAGATAGCTACACATCAGATCATTTATTTAAACAACTGGAGCAAAGAACATGCTGTTATTTAAAAAGGGTAATGTAGATACAGAATGATAAGACTTTTTATTTTAAAGTCAGCATTTATCTCTATTTTAAATGGACACTATAGTCACCAGACCCAATACAGCGTAATGTAGTGGTTCTGGTGTATATAGCCTGTCCTTGCAGTCTTAGCACTGAAAACATTTCTGGCTAGTAACGCCTCTAGCGCCTGTCACTCAGAGGGCCACTAGATGTGCTTGCTATCTCGGTGCTGCCCAGGGTTCCTACATTCTGTGTCTCCACACTGTGCATTTTGCAGCGCATGTGCAATAGCCTCCCACTGCTTTCCTAAGGGAAGGCATTGGACTGGCTGAGATCATCAACATTGATTATCGCAGCCATAAAGGTGATGCCAATGTGAGGTGATGGAGAAGAGGTAAGTAAAACAATCTTTTCATTTCATAGGGAAGTGGGACGGTTACCTAAATAGCCACTCCAGCACTTCTGTGTCAGGAATACAATTCTGTATTCTGTGTCAGGAATAGTGTAATCCTGACACTATAGTGTTCCTTTAAGCCGCATATGTGTTCAATTTGTTTCACCCAATTTAAACATGTGATTTTGTTAAATTCTGCAGGAGTCCTTTTACAAACTGTTATCTTTTTAGTGTCATCAATCAATTATGCCTGGAATATGTTGAGAATTTGAATGATGCATGGTCACAATTTTATCACGGTTTTCTTTTCCACTCTAATGAGCCGTAGACAAACATTTTTGGAAATACCCAGTATAATTTGCTTGTAACTACATGCTTAATACAGTGCATGTGAACTCATTAGTAATTTACATTCTTTAGTAAATTACATTCTTTAGACGAGGCAATTGGATACCATATAAAACAATAGTTTAACTTTTTTTTATTTAATTGATAAAGAGAAACCTAGTTTACTAATATTATACAACCAAAGAAAAAAGTTACTTGTACACTATCCCAAATCCCTATGCACATTTAAATAACTGGAAGTTTTTTTAGTATCACTCCAGCAGTCATTTAGGTGTATGCTCACCTGCCAAGGCAAGGCAAAAAGGCGAGTCCAACTTTAACAATTCACCTTGCTGAGTTCAGCTAAAAGGTAAAATCTTAATACAGTGCATGTGAACTTATTAATCATTTACATTCTTTAATAAAATTACATCCTTTAGATGAGACAGAATTGGATAACATATAAAATAATAGTTTAACTTTTTTTTTATGAAGACAGACCTAGTTCACTCATATTATTTAATCAAATCTAGATTTTATGTTTTAAAACAGTGAAAAGTATAATCATGATATCATCAGTGAAAGTGCAGCTTTTATGAAAAAAAAAATAGCAAAAAACTAATATGAACCTAACTTTGCCCATTGTTTATGACTAAGTCCCTGCAAAAAAAAAAAAAAACCTGGACAACCTCCATTTTGAATACTTTTAGCTGTCTACCTTTGTAAATGGTATGCCATGATGGGGTTAATTTTCATTCATGGAAGTCTCATAGGCAACATACTGGCCAAACTGGCAAAGTTCAATGTGTAAAAAACCCAGCCACTATATTTGACCCTATAACTTTCCAAAACACCATAAAGCCTGTACATGGGGAGCATCATTGTACTTGTGGGAAATCACAGCATACAAACATATAATATAAATGTGCATGTACTTAAATATGAAAGAGGTAAATTATGGTTCAGAACTTGTATAATTGCCTCCATCCTTAAGGGTTTAATTACTGTTTTTGTTGATAAGATAAGCCAGCATTAAACCCTTTGAGTACCAGAGATGTTCTGAATTTTGTGGTGGCTAGTTGTATTCCTAAAAAATATGTTTAGTTTTATACAGAAGACAGATCAAAATTCAGATAGGCAAAATTCAGATGCCTTATCAAACATTGCAGGGTTAAATAACATGCTAAAGCACAGGCCAAGCACAACAGTTTACATGAAACTACATCTATGTTTCTTGTTAGTTGCCTTACCATGTCCAGTGATATTTGGCAGTTGGATACCTGGGTGAGATTTATCAATGCTGTAATCTAAAAAGTGGTCCATAATAGTAAAAGCTGTGAAATCACCATGGAAACCATTGCAGCTGGCAGCTGAATCCTCCCCTTGTACATCTTTGCACCACTTTTTAGAATGAGAGATAGAGCTGAGGTGCATTGTATCTGGTCTTTATTCAAAACCTAAAGTGTCATTAAAGGTTACACTTTAGGTTAATAAAGCAGTTTTGTAAACACCATGCCCCTGCCATCTCACTGCTCAATTCTCTGGAGTTAAATCACTTTGTTTATGCAGCCCAAACCACACCTCCCTGAATGTGACTTGCTCAATTTCCTAAACACTTTTCGTAAAGAGACATCTAATGTTTATACTTCCTTTATTACAAAGGCTGTTTAATTTCGAATTTCTTATCTCCTGCTCTTTTAAAAGCCTTCTAGAGCCTACAGAAGCATGTGTGTGATTAGAACTCAATTTTCATAGTAGGAGATTTAAACTTCCAAAGTAAGTTAACATTTGATTTGAAATCAAACCACTTATTTTCATGTGGACTGTGTTAGTCACAGCTAGGGGAAGTGTTGGTAGGGCTGCCTAGACAGAGACACAGTGATTTAGCTCCTAAATGGCACAGTATTTAGCAGTGAAACTGCAGGGGCATGACCTATACACCAAAATTGCTTAATTAAGCTAAAGCTGTTTTGATGCATATTGTATCCCTCTAAGTATAATATTCCCATTATTCTAATGTAACAGGGAAGTTGTATTTGAATTGGTATCAGTGTCTAAAAGTTACGTAATTACATGGGCTGAAAGAAAACTTGTGCCCATCAAGTGCAGCCTTTCTTACATTTGTTTTTACTGAAGAAGAAGTAAAAAAAAAAAAACGCAAAAAAACAGTGTGAAATGCTTTCAAATTTGCAACAAACTAGGAAAAAAAATCCTTCTTACCCCAGATTGGTAGTCAAATTTCTCCTTGGATCCAGATACCGAATTGAGTTCCACAGAGCACTTCACCAAAAGTGGAAGGTACTGCTCTTGCTTTATAAAACAGAGTTTGATAATAATTCAAATACGTTTAATTGTCGCTTTGCTTACGTTCGCAGACAATTTACGTAAGATAAAACAAGTGAAGCACTACAGTGTCCAGAGCACTCTGCCGTATTCAAGGGATTTAGAACATATCTCGATATATATACAAAAAGTTATTAAAGTATGCACTTAGTGTAAGCATGAAGCATATATAAAAATACACTTTAATTCTTGGGTGAATTAGTGGAGATAGTATCGTGAAACTCATAAGAGGTGCCCTGTAAACACCATATTTGAAGATCAGAACGGTAGAAGTAAGCACAAAGAGAACTCCTACATAATATATTTTATTGAATAAATACAATCAACCAACAGGGTAACTGATTTACTTCCTGTTGCCAATGTGATAAAATCAAAGTCAGAAGCTGCTGGAATTCAAGAGAATTAATGATGTGCCTGGATAAAATGTGTGCAGGAGCCTTATTCACTTATATTGGCAGGGAAAAGCAAGTGTTATAGAAAGCATTGGAAAGATGGTATAGATTTCTGATCATCGAACTCTTCCTGAAGGAGTGTAGATAATGACTGAGGTCTACTATTAACACTTAAATTAAACATAGAAACATAGAATGTGACGGCAGATAAGAACCATTCAGCCCATTATTATAATATATAAGCTTCTCCAGTGTCAATGATATTCATTGACAAAATTTTGTCAAAATAAAAATGGAGCAAGGGCATATTTTAGGGACCATTATAGACATCCAGACGGCTTCATCTTAATGAACTGGTATGGGCGCAGTTTCCCTGTAGTTTTAGTCATGTAAAACATTGCTGTTTAGTAGATATGGCACTGTCTTGATTGCAGGTCTAAACACACCTCTAATGGCTGTCTTCCTGAGAGCAACTAGAGGTGTTTTCGCTCACAAGTCACTTCCTCTGATGCTTCTCATAGAGAGCATTCAATTAGATGAGGGTGGCGCTCACTGTGCATGCGCTTCTTGTTCCAAATGCTTCTCTATGAGAACCATTGGATTGGAAGAGGAAGAGGAGTCAGTGTGATGTCGCAGGAGGCGGATTGGGCAGCTTTAGCGATGTCTTGGCACTGGAAGCAAAGTAAGAAAAATATATTTTAATAGCTTTTTCGTCTTGTAATGGGGTGGACAGTAGCTATTGTAATAACTTAGTCCCCCTGTAAAATAAATATTATTTTTGGAACTATAGGTTCCCTATCAAGGACATGTGAGTGATATGTGTGGGTGCTAAGGAATGTGAATTGGTAGCATTGAATATGCACACAAAATCCTCATGTAGGTCTTTGAAACATTATTCCTCTTTCAACAGGGGACTGTGTGAGAACTATTTTATACTTGCCTGTATATTCACTTTATATAATTAACAGTTTCCAGAGTAATAGATTTTTTTAAGTATTTCAAGTAAACCCTACAATAAAGAGGAGTTATTTTTTTACCTTCTTTCTAGCAAACACGAGAGTGGCCAAGATATTCATCAAATTCATTGTTTTTAGAAGTTAACACAACTACAGCCTGTATAACACCAACAATCACCAAAAAAATAAAAATGTAAAAAGTAAGTGTATAACCAAATGTTGTGCTCTTTTATTTAGATGTATTTAAAGACACACTGATACTTTAGTTCTTCACCAAGCTACTTGCCTGTGAGTGTCATATTACAATTATTGAAATATGTAACTTGCAGAGGTCCAAGAAGCTAATAAACCCCAATAGCCTAATTGTTGAACATAAAATAAGGAATAAATAGAGAGGCAGAGGTGGCAACGCAGACTGCAAATTAGAAGGGAAATCAGTATCATATTTAGCATTTACCAAACATTAGTGAGTCCATTGTCAATATTCTCTTGTAAGTTGGGGACAAGCGATGGAACTAATTCAAAAGTGAATTTGACATTTGTCTGACAGGTAGGGGGCGAATTGTTTGACATGCAAGGAGCATTAAATCAAGTGAAAAAACATTAATGTGTAGCCAATCAAAAAAAATAGAATCTGTTTTATAGTCACACCAACCATCATCATGTGTGCCAATGGATTAGTGAGGAATTATTAGACGAGTAAAACTGTAACACATACACATAGCCTGTACCCTGGACAAAAGATCAAATATGCCTGGATTTAAGCACCTTCAACCAACCTTGCCTGGTGTGTGCTTGTCTGGTGTATCAATCCATCCATCGCCTATTTGTCTGTTACTTAGGATATTGTAGAAATCTGAACACTAGGTAAAAAGCCACTGTCATTATTCAACAAATTAAAGGAAGGAGTAATAATACATAATAACACCCTAAAATGTAACAGTGTAAATAACAATGTTTAAAACTAAAAGCTCAAAAAAGAGAAGCTCTTTTAACTAGATACCACATAATTACTAACAAATGTATAGTTGTAGAAAAAGCATTTTTTAAATAAAAAAATATTCAAATCTGCAGTTCTTTTACCCTCTCGATGATGTATTGCCAGTTTAGATAGTAGAACATTGATTATTGTTTTATTCTAAAAGAGCATGACTGCCAATCTTCCAGTTACACTTTAAATACTCAGTTCTTGTGTCATTTTGTTTCCATTCTGCTGGATAAGATCTATAACGTGCATGCCATATGAACTCAAATTCATAAAATATGCTACAATATGGAATATATTTATTTTATTTTGAAAATTGTCTGGAGAGGAATGAAACAGCAACTCAAATAATGACATTTCATGTATTTGTATATCCCTGTTATATATCTTACAGTCATAACGAGAATTGGCCGGATCATGTTGTAATTTGTGCATTGCTTGATGAGCTCAGTTGATAATCAGTGGAGACACTAAATAGTTGGGAACGTAAACACTTTTTTTATATGTATATGTTTTATAGCTATATTGTATAAATAGCATTATATAATTCAGCTTTTTTTTACATGAATTGAACTTTACTTTTTTCTTAATGATTTTTTTTAACTTATATCTCTCATAGTAGCACTTTTTTTCTGAAGCAATCATTCTAACATTTTTATTTGTGGTGTAACTTGAAAAAAGGAGAGTATTCCGCCAGCTCGTTCAATTTGGGAAAAAAAATACAAAAACAAAATCCTAACCAGAAATATTCTCTTCCTATTCTGTAATATTTGCAATTCTAAGAAAAAAGAAAGCGGGCATTATGCATCAAGAACAATTCTGAGACAAAGTTATAAAGTGGAGCTACCACTCTAGAAAACAATGCCGTGCTCCTGTCTATTGTTTTACTTTTAGAACTTTGCCCAAGAACTGTTCTTGGAAAAAAAAAACATAATCACCACAGCACACTGGCACCCTCCAATATAAAGAATCAATTTGTTTGCTAACAGTTTGACTTCTTACCTGGAGTCCACTGGTCTGTGCCTCTCTGCGTCTGGAAGCTTTCTGCCTTAGATAAGCTAGGTTGTCCAGGGCTTAGCTCATTGATTGAGCATGATCAGCTGAAGCTCCCAGTCAATGAGCTGACTAGGCACTTTATGGGTTAGCTCAGGAGAGCTAACAGAAGCTCCTAGCTGGAGATTCAGCTTAGCCATTAAAAGTCAAACTTTTAATAAATTAAATGAATCTCCTTTAGGACCTTCTGTGGATCTCCAAAGCTGGATCATCAGGGATCCAAGTAACCATTAATGACATTTTCAATTCAGGCAGATTGTAATGAATTTGTATGTGGATCTGTTTTACACTGATCCACACACTCTGCAAAATTCGCAAATTGTGATGTTTCCTTTGGCTTACTATGTGGTACTGTTTTACTGTTTGAAATCAATTTGTTTACTGCCAAACCATGGCATATGTCACATTAACATCCATCTTATTGTCTTGTTTCTTCAGTGCATCCAAACGTCAGCCAGGGTTGCCAAGGAGGGTGTGCTACATGTTCTGACTACAATGGCTGTTTGTCATGTAAACCTCGACTATTTTTTGCTCTGGTGAGGAATGGCATGAAGCAAGTTGGGGTTTGCCTGCCCTCTTGTCCAAGTGGATACTTTGGAATGAGATCTCCAGAAATAAATAAATGTACAAGTAAGTGGTATCAATTTGCCTTCTGTGTGTCTATCTAAATGTTGATGTATCTACATGGTAGAGCATTTGCTGTCCTTATACATATTAGTATATTACAGTTCTTTAAATTAAGCATTATGCACAATTAATGAAAACTATGAAGAGTGGTTTCAAATCTTTGTTAAAGCATGTTTTCTAGTACTCCATTTACAAATTTACATAATATACACAAGCCCAGTCAGAGATTGATTATTGATACTTATCTCTATAGATAAAGATTATTCATAAATTATTTTTCATTTACAACCAATCTGTTAATATTAAATGGTTAATTAACCTCTTAACTATTACAAATTACAATCAATTTTACAACAAAGACCTTAGATGATGATATTAAACTGCATTGTGAGTCTTCACAATGGACAACATTTTCCAACCAAAAGCTTAATGAAAAACGGATTAAAGGACATTTCTTTCAGACTTATACATTTTTTGGAGATTTCATAAAGATCTCTGTCAAGGTGCCATTGGCTTGCAAAATAGTACTTTCAGCATTTATTTATAGAGATAATAGATGTAGGTTGTGCCGATATAAAGTCCAATAAGTCCACAAAGTGGTGGAATATGTTCTTAGTTGGTAGTCGTCCAGACTTCAAATAGTGGAAGTATATGGAATAAAATAGAATATAACCAGTGATGGTGCAGAGCATTAGGAACTGGGTGCAGGGCACACAACAGAAAAGTATATGGTATATCACTCACATTTGAGAAAGCCATAAAACCAGCTCTAAGTATAACAGCATGCAGCGATACAATCCCCACTGAAGGATATGTAGATTTGGGGCTTGGTCTCTCAATGTATAGATCGATATTTAAAAGAAAGTAATGGCAAATAATAGTACTCACTGTAAAAAGATGAAGCAATAATTATGAAAATTAAAGTATTCTATACACATTTAGTAGAGCACTAGATCCTGCTCAGATGTTAGGGCTTGGGTGGTATAATCCCCACCAAGGATAGTATTGGGTAGATCTTCCAAGGAGGAGTACTCTCTAGGGTATTCATATCAGGTAAGTATGTTCAATATTGATGTGCCAGGAACAAATAAAAGATAAAAAAAATAACCTAAAAACAAAAGCAGCTAATAGCATAAAAAGTGTAAAAAAATAGACAAACACAAAGTAGAGTGAAAGTCAAATTTACTTTAATGCTTAAAAACAATGGTTTAAAACAACATACCGCATTTCGGCAACTGAGGGGCTTTTTTAAGTGATTTGTCAGAGCACCAGTGAGCGGAACGTGAATACTGAGGCTGTTTGAGCCCATTTTTTGAATGCACTCTCAGCTGTGACATTTTGTTAAAGTAAGGGGAGAGTTTCCATTAATATATGGCGTTTCTGTCAGTCTAATGTTCTGCTTTTAGATAGGATTAACCAAAGAATGCATTAGAGGTAACATGTAGAATTGAAGGATATGACTTTCTATTTTATATTTTTAGAATGTAAAGCTGATTGCGAAACATGTTTCCACAAAAATTTCTGCACAAAATGCAAGGGTGGATTTTACTTACACAGTGGAAAATGCCTTGAAACATGTCCAGAAGGCTTTGAAAATAACAACCACAGCATGGAGTGCAGTAACATAGGTGAGTGTTCTTATATCTATCCATATGATAAGGAGATCTATGATTTCTTTTTCTCTTTTTTTACTACAGTCATTATTTTGCATGATTCTTTTGTGTTGTCTTGTATTCTTTGATACCTACCAGTTTCTTTTGTTTGAAAAACAAATAGTGAATGATGTAAACCCTATATGGAGTAGACAAATGAGTTGGAAATGTGAGAGAAGACATAAACAGGGGAGTCAAATATATCACAGCAGATTTTAAAATAAATCTGAAAAAATTATAATATTAATACAGAGAGGTATAGAAAAAAATATTCTTGAGAAAAAAGTAGGATTTTTTTTGTCATTAGAGGTGACTTGTGACTTGGAAAAAGAACAGTTTTCATGATATATGTAATAATAGATTTATAGCAGCCTGAAGTTCATTACACTTTGGATATTTTGGTTTCTTGATCGGACTTTCTAGTTCCTCTTCTTGTTATAAAGAAAACAAGATACAGTCAGAACGAGTAGGGCAGATGCATGCTGGGACGTAATATGCTCAAAAGAGACAGGACGTTTTAAGTTCAATTTACTTTAAGTGTATATTGCTGGCTTTTAAATTCTTGTTGTTTTTGTTTTGTTTTGGGTTTGTTTTTTGTTTTTTTGCTCTAATAGCAAAGAACATATAATGTTTTGCACTGCAGTACTACACATAGCAAATTAACATCACTTGCCAGTTACATAATGAGAGTATATTCATTCTAGTTCTTCTTAAGACTCTTTCAAGTCCTTTCCATTTGCTGGCCTTCCTTGTCATTCCTCTGCTTCTTGTGTGGGTACTGACTTTCTTTCTGTTTTTCTCATCTTCCTAATTTCCATCTTATTGTTATCCAAAGTTCTCTGTCCTTTTGCCATATCTCCTGTCACTTCTTTTTCTGAGGATCCTGTCATGCCAGCCGCAGAGGTTACAGCTTCTGTAGAGCTGCAGAAGCTGTTCCAATAGCCAATCATGGCTGAAAGCAGCAGCCGGAACTCTTGTTTGAGCAGTTGATGGGGCAAGAATCAGGAAGCACTATAGGAAGACTATATATCCCAATGCATGGTGTACACTTTGCATTACTTGATTCCCGCATCCTATAATCCTATATTAGTGATCATGTGCTGTGTACAGTCTGCCCCTCATGTTGGCTAAATTCAGATATGGGGGAACAGTGTATGATTATACCAATGCTGTGGTAGCAATTAATTTTTCTGAAGCTGTCTCTCTCTTTTCATAATGTTGCACTGGGAAAAAAAAGATTTAAGAAAACTTGGTGATTATTGTATATTCTAAAATACTGAAGTGTAGCAATAATTGACAAATAGATTAAAATATTTAGGTGACTGTGAAGCTAATCTTGATTTTCATTCTAACAGTGCACTGTATCGTCAGTGAGTGGGGTCCTTGGGGTCCTTGTACAAAGAAGGGTAAGACTTGTGACTTCAAAAGAGGAAATGAAACCAGAGTTCGGGAGATTGTGCAGCAACCTTCAGCAAGGGGTACACTGTGTCCACCAACAACTGAGACAAGGAAATGCATAGTGAAGAAAAAGAAGTGTCCAGACAGGAAAAGGTAATGTCCATTATCATGTAACTTCAATGACTCTATATTATGTATTATTTACAAAAACAAATGAGTTCTTCCCTGAGAAACACATCCCATCCATTCAGCGGCATAACTAGAAACCACGGGGCCCCAGTTCCAAAATTGCCCTGGGGCCCCTCTCCCATACGTCTATCCCCCTGCCACCCCCCATACGTCTACGTTCTCATATGTTCCATATGTATTTGCAGTGGTTACCAAACAATTATGGTTTGGTAAAGCAAATAAATCATTTTTTTGTCCACCTTGTGACCATACCAATTCTTATAAAGCCATGTAATATTTCATATAAATGAATGAATTACAGCAGCATGGATTTTATTTAGACATATTAAGCAAATACATATAACAAGAAATCATTCTAAAATACATGTTTTATTTGCAAAATCACATAAATAAAACAGATATGAAGAGTCAAACTAGCAACTAGATTATTATTATTTATTATTTATAAAATATTTTACCAGGAAAGATCTCCCGAACATTGAGATTTCTCTCATTTTCAAGTATGTACTGGGTCCACAAAACATTGCATTGATACTATAGGGTACAATAAAATACAAAAACAATATTAATACACAATATATATAAAGCGTAACTAGCTATCTTAGTGTATGCTGCATGTACCCTCTACTAGCTGTCAAATTTCTAGTTGTTATTTTTGGGGGTGAGCCAGTGACATCACTGACTTTTGAGCAGGTTAAAGAATAACGTTAACCAGACCAGGCATCAATTCTACATATATTTAGTTATCATGTAAACTATACTCAGTCAGAGAGCTCTAACTACTACAGGGAGTGCAGAATTATTAGGCAAATGAGTATTTTGACCACATCATCCTCTTTATGCATGTTGTCCTACTCCAAGCTGTATAGGCTCGAAAGCCTACTACCAATTAAGCATATTAGGTGATGTGCATCTCTGTAATGAGAAGGGGTGTGGTCTAATGACATCAACACCCTATATCAGGTGTGCATAATTATTAGGCAACTTCCTTTCCTTTGGCAAAGTGGGTCAAAAGAAGGACTTGACAGGCTCAGAAAAGTCAAAAATAGTGAGATATCTTGCAGAGGGATGCAGCACTCTTAAAATTGCAAAGCTTCTGAAGCGTGATCATCGAACAATCAAGCGTTTCATTCAAAATAGTCAACAGGGTCGCAAGAAGCGTGTGGAAAAACCAAGATGCAAAATAACTGCCCATGAACTGAGAAAAGTCAAGCGTGCAGCTGCCACGATACCACTTGCCACCAGTTTGGCCATATTTCAGAGCTGCAACATCACTGGAGTGCCCAAAAGCACAAGGTGTGCAATACTCAGAGACATGGCCAAGGTAAGAAAGGCTGAAAGGCGACCACCACTGAACAAGACACACAAGCTGAAACGTCAAGACTGGGCCAAGAAATATCTCAAGACTGATTTTTCTAAGGTTTTATGGACTGATGAAATGAGTGAGTCTTGATGGGCCAGATGGATGGGCCCGTGGCTGGATTGGTAAAGGGCAGAGAGCTCCAGTCCGACTCAGACGCCAGCAAGGTGGAGGTGGAGTACTGGTTTGGGCTGGTATCATCAAAGATGAGCTTGTGGGGCCTTTTCGGGTTGAGGATGGAGTCAAGCTCAACTCCCAGTCCTACTGCCAGTTATTGGAAGACACCTTCTTCAAGCAGTGGTACAGGAATAAGTCTGCATCCTTCAAGAAAAACATGATTTTCATGCAGGACAATGCTCCATCACACGCGTCCAAGTACTCCACAGCGTGGCTGGCAAGAAAGGGTATAAAAGAAGAAAATCTAATGACATGGCCTCCTTGTTCACCTGATCTGAACCCCATTGAGAACCTGTGGTCCATCATCAAATGTGAGATTTACAAGGAGGGAAAACAGTACACCTCTCTGAACAGTGTCTGGGAGGCTGTGGTTGCTGCTGCACGCAATGTTGATGGTGAACAGATCAAAACACTGACAGAATCCATGGATGGCAGGCTTTTGAGTGTCCTTGCAAAGAAAGGTGGCTATATTGGTCACTGATTTGTTTTTGTTTTGTTTTTGAATGTCAGAAATGTATATTTGTGAATGTTGAGATGTTATATTGGTTTCACTGGTAATAATAAATAATTGAAATGGGTATATATTTGTTTTTTGTTAAGTTGCCTAATAATTATGCACAGTAATAGTCACCTGCACACACAGATATCCCCCTAACATAGCTAAAACTAAAAACAAACTAAAAACTACTTCCAAAAATATTCAGCTTTGATATTAATGAGTTTTTTGGGTTCATTGAGAACATGGTTGTTGTTCAATAATAAAATTAATCCTCAAAAATACAACTTGCCTAATAATTCTGCACTCCCTGTAGTCCATAAAGGAAAATAAAACTATTAGATCAATGAAACAATGTGCCAATATAATCAATACAGCAGTGAGTTGCAATAGTCATCTTATTTGTAAATTAAATTCTTGCAGACGAAGAGCGAAATGTGTAGGGGGCCGTCTGTTGTCATGCACGGACAGTGAACCATCATATGACGAAAGTTTTACACAATTGTAGAATATGTTCTAACATAATTAAGGATAAATTCTATAACGTTATTTTGTAATCTTTGGTTGAATAACTAGACACAGTCCTAGAGAAATGGAAAGAAAAAAAAATGTGATTTCTAAGAATAAGAAATGATGTAAACTTTGTGGATTATTCAGTAAATTTATCAGCACTTGTTTGTGTAGAGACAATCAACATGCCTGAATTAGAATTGACACGATTCCCCAGAATGAAGTTGCTCAGTCCTAATATACTCCCCTGTCAGAAAAACTGATTGTTATATTAGTGAATATGTGTGGTTCAGCTGGTGGGAGAGGAGCATTTACATGCAATGTTTGTGAAAGTTCTGGGCAGGAGGATTTGATAAGTATGCAGTTGGCTTGTACTCACTGTGTTTTATCATACTTTGATTGCAGTTCAAAAATATGTAGAGGAAAAAATTCCCCAAACCATGCATCAAGATTAGAGTAAATGTTACTTTAGTTGGAGATAATGTAATATAATACCGAGAGGCTTAAAATATTAAGTGTTAAATTCTCTTCTCATCCACCCACTCACACTCATCACAGATTCGTTCTGATGTAACACAGAAAGGCAGCAGACTTGCTATGAAATCTAATGATGTGCTCAATGAAAATCTTGACTTAATCCACTTTATGCTTCAATAATTTATCCTGTCAATGTAGAGTCCCAACTCTGTTTTAGAACTTCGACATTTTGGTAAGAAATGTATTGTGAGGTTTCCGAAACTGCATCTACAAAGCAGAATAGAGAATAGTTTTTTTATATTTTTATACTTCTTTTTCCAAGAATAAAGAGGGAACTATGTTAAATTGTTAACCATATCCATATGGTGTTACTTAAAAAAGCAGTAAATGTTTGAAGCACACATATAAGTAAAGATGCAATGCATTTACTCACCCAAAGTGGTATTAAAGGGTACTCTAAGCAACTTAACCACAACAGCTTAAATTAGTGCACAAGTGTAAAATTTGCATTATCAGTGTGAGTGATAAGAGCATGGTCTGTGTGTTGGGGACAACCCCAGTTCCTTCCTAATAGTTCAGCATGAAGCCAATACATCGTATCCAGAGACATAAGTCTCTATTGAAAGAGAGAGTCTAAGCTCCATAACCAATATGGTGAGATTGTGGCATCATCCCATGATTAGCAATCAAACTGTTTTTAATTAGTTTGTCACTTACATGGGTCCCAGGATCTGGCTCCCTCTTTAGATATAGCTAAATCAGTTCTCCTCTCACATTACAAATATAAGTGAATCAAATCAGAATTGTGCACTGTGGTACAGTGTTTTATTTGTAAAGATATTTGTAGAAATTCAGGCTCATTAATGGTTCTATTCTTACATAATTAGCTGTGCATTCAATAAAACATTATTTAAATAAAACGTATCAAATCAATTCAATGTGTTAAAACATTAACAGATCTGCTGAACACTAGAAAACTCTCAGCCATACCTGGGAATAACTAGAAATCTTATACCGGGGGAAGGGACAGAGACGTCTACGGTAAATGGGATAGCTCAGTCGATGGAATTAGATGGATAAATTGGGTCCTCAAACTCCGGCCCCCCAGATGTTGCTGAACTACAACTCCCATGATTCTTTGAATTACATAGATAGCCAGAGAATCATGGGAGTTGTAGTTCAGCAACATCTGGGGGGCCGGAGTTTGAGGACCCATAATGTAGACCATAACACACTAGTGAAAGAGATAAACACTCAACCTTTACTTACTCTATACACGCAATGTAGCTAATTCTCACAGACATATTTACTAGGAAGGTGCACACAGCACCTCTGGAGGCAACTTGTCCTATGGACATTTTGGTGATCGTAGATATCACAGGTGTTACTCGGCACAGGGTGCTGTTCCACCTGGAGAAAACAGACTATCATCATTTAAAATATTGATGCAAACATGTCCATCACAAATGTTTATCAAGTGAAGAGTAACAAAAGGTGGAATGCTACCATCTTGATAAACAGGAGTAACTATAAAAATGTAAATTTTTTACAAACATTATAAATATATAATTTATCATAGTAGATCAAATGTAAGCACATTTTCAGTGAAGTGCTATCTATAAAGTGTTACAGTTTCAACATATCCCATATTTGTGCTCTACAATTAATAAGCAAGAAAAAGACAATATGCAAGTAAATGTTCGATGCACAGGAGCGATTGGTGATAAGGGCCCTTAAAAAAAATAGATATAAATAAATATTAGAGAGAAATATCAAATAAAATATATGAATTTATAGATGTGGGATGCTACAGCTGCTGTTACTTAATATTTAAGAGAAGGAAGTATAGGAGTAGTGAGACTAAAACATTGGAAAAGTTGAAAACACTTTGTGATAAGAACGAAACTTCTCGAGTAAAAAACAAAACATACTTTTTGTCAAAATCAATTTTTCTATGAATTGCGACTCATTGTAGTGTTTTTTTTTTTGTTTGTTTGTATTTTGCATTTTATTACAAGAGTACTCCTTACGGATGAGATTTAATTCAAATATTTGCTTTTTTAGATTAAAAAAATGCAGACTTGATAACCTGGAGTTGCCCTTAAGCAAAACAATCTTTAATTATACCTTAAATGTAGCCAGCGCTATGCCTGCTTCAGAATATGACTCTCATGTGGTCTTTAAATATATTGCACGTGTCACAGGAAATACTTATTATAATAAAATCATCATACTTCTGCCTCGGAATACATAAAATACAAACATCATTTCACTTTAAAAATCAAAATGTTTATTTTACAAAATCAACAGGAAAATTAGTGCCTAATCTCACAGTTTATTCGTGATGGAAATAAATGAGTTCTGGTATATTTCCACTTACTTTATCAAAAATGACAGCGTAAACAAACCGCAAGCAGTGTCAAACACTCGTAAGAGTAGAAGTATTTAAAGGTACAACTGGCTCTTATGGGTACCATCATAGTCACGTGACATTTCAACAAGGTATACAAACAAATTAGAATAGTGATTGTTCTTGTGCATATAATACACATGGTTCAGAGAAAGAGGACAAGTTAATCAGTCAAAAAAATAAACATATCATCCTATGTGGTGTATCGGACACTAATCAGGCCCAGGATAACATTGAAGGCAGGAGACAGTAGATGTCAGTAACACAGCTGAGCGGAGTGTGTTTTGTGTGTTAAAGACACCAGTGTGGTTAATGACCTTACTGTGTGATTGTTCCCCGGGCCTCTTGGACTCTAAAATTAACTTAAAACTAATTACCATTTCCTGCTGTTTATGTTTTGCATATACTACAAGGTCAGAAGTGAGCATTTAAGAGACCTCTTTATGCGATCATGTCGCCTCTTGTGCTTTTGTCATTCGTTTGTTTGTTTGTTTTTTCTTTTATTGCTTATGCATATTGTGACGTGTCTTTACAAGTAGAAAACAATGAGGAGTTGTTTACATGTTGACATTCAAGAATGCTTTAAAGCAATTTAAAACAAATATGTTGGATCTAAAGAGGAGCTTCAAAGGAGTCAAAAATACCAAGGATGGGGTCATGTGTCTAACCCCTATTTGCATAATTTAATGCCATATGATGTTAAATTAAAAGTAAGATAATTAGGCAATGTATAATATATATATATAAATTTAATGTAGCAAAAGAATTTCCCTGATGGATCACTCATTACCCTTGTCCTCCCAGATTATGCCATTTTCAAAAACAATTGCACATGACTCAATGCAACATGGGTTGTCAAATGCAATATTCAGTATGAAGACATTAGACCACCAACAGGCAGAGATTTACAGATATCCCTGCTTGAGTACAAATGAGTCAATCAGAACCACAACCAATCTTCCCTTCCCTCCTTAGCTCAAACATGGATTTGCTGGCTTATTGTAGAAAGGACGGGATAACCTATGATTAAGCTCCAGTTAACATTTGACTTTAGTTGATATGTCAACATTAAGTAATCAATTACAATTACATTTACAGGGATTTTTACAAGAATGTAGCTTGCTGGATGCACCATATTATGTTCACTTTTGTAAACAAACTATTAATTATAGCAAGAATCTATTGAATTTCATTCAATTGAACTTGGGTGGGAGGAAGAGTGATTATACTAGGCATTGAGTATATTTTCCTATATAAAAAGGTTCTGGGGACTAGGAGGAAGTTATTAGGGGAAGAAATGTGCCCTATAATAAAGTCATTAGGAGAAGAAAATCAATGCCCTGTAATAGATTTTTGCTCTAGTGGTATTCTCTCCAGTATATTGTGGACCATTTTGCACTGAGACGAGACTTCATTAAAGGGACACTATAGTCATCAGAACAACTATAGCTTAATGTATATGTTCTACTAAGTATATTCTCTCCCTCTTTTGCTCTAAGTAGTACCTTTTTGGAGAAATGGCAGTTTTATGTCCTTTAGAGGCACCCAAAAAAATAAATGTTTCTATGCAAAAATGCTCTGTGAATAGTGTTATAGTAAAACAATTCTGAAAATAAAAATTTATATAACAATATAATGTAGATTTTATTTTCAAGATCTATTCAATACTGATATGCAGTGAGCTAAGAAAGGAGATGAAAGATGTCCGCCAAAACAGATGAATTGGAAATCCTAGATTGTGATCTTGACAGAATTTTGGTCTGATTTTTTGTAAACATACTGCATAGTAATAGATCGATTAGTAAGACATAGGAATGTTTGGCAGTGTCATTTAGTAAACACTAAATGACAAACCAACCACAAAATAGCAAAGTTCTGGTGTTTTAGTGACCTTATCAAGGCTACCACCTTGTAAGTAGTGTGTCACATACGGCTTTCCCTTTAGACATTTCGTATACAACATATATTTCTTTTTTACTTCAGATATATGTTAACTGTCTTCAGCATTATTGTAATTAACATATCTATATCGTATAGCGCTGCATTTTCAGATCCAGACACAAATGTCCCTTCACTAAACTCCAATACCACTTTCAGCAATGGTATTACTACTTGTTAATGATTAAATTTGTCTTACCGTCCGTCAGTGCCACAGTAACTAATTTTATAGAGCAAGTGTGATTTATTTGTATTTTTTTAGAAAGGAGGGTTTTAAAAAAAAAAATATATATATATATATATACTTATATTGATCAAATTTTTTCCCTTTTTTCTATTTTCTATTTTACTTTTTTTCTATGTATGTCTGTGAGGTGCTGTGTTTGTTGTGTGAAGGGTGCTGTGTGTGTATGTTTGTGTGTGAAAGGTGTAGTGTGTGTGTGTAAGAGGTGAAGTGTATGTGAAGGGTGCTGTTTGTGTGAGTGGTTGTGTGTGTGTGAGGGATGTTGAATTTGTGTGAAGGGTACTTATTTTTCCAAGGAGGGGGGTCAATGCTGCCAGCGGTGGTGTTCCAGTGATGGCATGTTCACTTTAGCCTGCAACTCCTCCTGCTGCAGGTTGACTCTCCTGTCCTCCTGTGAGCACAGCACTATATCTGAGCGCTGAGCGTTGCCATGGTATCGCACGGCAACGCTCTGACCAGTCTGCTCGCGGGAGGATCACAGAACCTCCAGTGCACTTCTCTCCCTCTGCTAGAACTAAGCACTGCCCACTGGGTGTTTTCAGCAGAACCCACCAGCTCCCACCTGAATTCCTGGTACCTGGTTCACTACCCCTGAGCTAACTATTTATCTGTGTTCTCTTGTTATGTCTACACTAAAGCCACAAGAACAAATTGCTCTAATAAATTCCAAGGGATGGATGAGGTTTTGAACAATGTGCTATATAAGCATTAAACAATAAAATTAATTTTACATCATTTCTTAAAATACTTCAATTTCTTTAGGTTACTTTTTTCTTTTAGGCCAACTCCTTTCATGATTTCTTGTAATTTCAGGGCACCGGGAGCCAATTTGCATAGTTCAGATCTCGCATTTTATTTGTGTGTGTCTGCACGGTTGGTCTATTTGATGTAGCACAATTGAGCAAAACTGTAGAACAATACAAAACTGCCATCTGTATTCAGTTTGCTGATATAATTTAAGTAATAGAACCTTGAGGCTAAATTGCTAACGTTCTTACAGAGAGGAAGGTTTCCTTCAAACATCTGGAATTTTCACAAATTCATGGAACATAATCTCAAGCAAGCGGTAGCAAGGAACAGTAGCTTGCATTCTAAGATTTACAACATAGAGCTCTGCTATTAAGATTTGCCCTCTGATATACAGCATTTTCTGTGATATACTCTTTCTTCATTAGTCATCAACTTTCTGTTTAGGGAAAAACTGAGGTTTCAGACACGATATCTCAGGAATGCTTCTGTGTTTTATCTACATGGACCACTGCTGAGGCCATGGAACATAGAATTCATACCCTTTAATACATGTAAACTATCATACACCCTTATTTTCCCTTTGATGCTGAATGGTTGTAAGGTTGGAGGTGAAAAGATGGTGGTGCAAGGCATTGATGCCTGATTTTAAAGTGAACTAAAAAGGTTTATGCTTCTCTTATATAAATATAGAGAGAGCGAGAAAGAGAGAGAGTGAGAGAGAAAGAGAGAGAGGTAAATATATATAGAAAGAGAAAGGGAGGGATACATATCCTGAGTTGTGTTTCAAAGCTGCTGAATACAGCAAACACAAACTCCAAGGAATCCATGTTTAAAATGGAAGGAGGCAAAAATCTGATTCTTTGTTGATTGTTGAACTACATTGCATATGCCCACCCAGAATCCTTTGCAGTAGTGTAGTGACATCACTGCAAATTTGTGATTTCTGTGGGAAAAGCAAGTCTTATGGCATGACTGGTGTGCAAATCTGTGTTTAACATTGTGTTATATATACATACTATCATTATGTTAATACAATTATATTCTCTTGTCACTATATGGTCACATACTTTTTAAATATATTTTATCATTGTTTTTCTAAAAATAGCAAATGCAATTTTCTTTGAAGGTATTTAAGGGATGCTTTACATTTGAGAGAGTTTATATTTTTTATATATAGAAATTGAGTGTTTAGTTAATTTCTTCCAGTTTTCAAACTGCTTTTAAATCTGATGATGGCCTGGGGCAGGATAGTTCCAGGAGCTAATTTAAGTAGCTTCACTATAATAAGAAGGTACAATGTAAACTTTTTTTAGTGGTCCTCTCTCCTATCTTGGGGTAACACAGATTCCAGTAACGTTGCAATTCAAAGTTGTATCTCCGTGCATATCTGGGATGTTTTAGGTCTCCTATAGAAATCTTGGATAACAGCAAGATGTGCAGAAAACTGGTGTAAGAGGGTGGCATTTGCCCAGTTGCCAACACATATAAAACTTTCTCCTCTCGGAGATTGAATTGTTAAGGAAATACAGGTTTGGCCAACACATGGCCCTGTCATTTCTTACAGTAGAGATGATCAAACAGACTCATGATAGTTTACGATATATAAAAATCAGACTGTTTAGTTTAGTGTGAAACAATCTATGACATGTTAGTTCTTACACTGGTGCAGATAATGTCATTAAGGAGATATATCAAACGTTTTGGCAGGCATTATTACCTATAGTAGCTCCCAGTATGGTTAGTCAGTCCTGCATCAGGTCATTAAACTTAGATGATAAGAGATGGTGGAATAAGAGTAAAACAACAAAAAACAGGAATATGCTTATTCAGCAGAAAACTACAGAATCAGTCAGTTCATCCCAGGAAAAAGTTTATTTAACCCTTGAAGCCAATTCGTGAAATAATTCTGTCATCATTTTACTGTTTCGCTTCGCTTTTTTTTTACATGAAAAGGGTTAAGTAACCCTTCAACACAAGATTTTTTTTTTATTGCACTTTTTTTATTTTTTTTTATTTTTTTTTTATATTTAGTTTTTATTGAAGGTTTTCAAGGTTATGAATCCAGTACATAGTTGATTCACATAACACACATAACTGAGTATGCAAAAGACAAGAGGTTTGGTTTTAACAGTAGTTAGTAAAGTAACGTAAAGTAACACACTGTTTGCATCTGTTTAAATTTATTGCACTTTTTAAATATCAAACATGATGTTTTAGCTTCCTAATCTGAAATCTCACAGCGATCAAGGACAGTGCTGTAAAAATAAATCAGAAGATTACATTTCCATGGTATTATATGAGTAGGCTTATTTTTGTATTGTTATAGATGTCTAACCTAAATGTTACACTTTTGTTCTGAACTTGGATTCAGCTGGAAGAGAGCAAAACACTTTTTTCACATAGTTGCAGAAGAGGTCAGATCTGGAAAGATCACAGCTGCTCAGTTTGGAATTTACCACCCAGTGGTCATTTATAATTAATATTAATGAATGGCAGATGACAGATGTTTATATCCTATTCTTTGCCAGGCATTGCTAAACATGAAGTGCAGCTTTTTATTTTAACTCACAACCGTGTTTTTCTCTAAAATGAACAGGCTTGGATATATAATTAACATGGTAATAATTTTAAATAGTCAGACTGGGGCAGACTCGCAAATTTCAGCCTGGGGCAAGCACAATTAGGTGGCTTAGATATACCAGTAATTAAACTCCCAAAAGCACGTCTGAAATACACAGATTTTCCAACAACCTGCGCACTGGCCAATCCTGTTTAACTGACATCAGTATTCACTAAAGAAGAGCACAAAAAAACTCATGAAAACACAACAGGAAGAATCTAGTACTGGTTAAAATGCTTGCATAGAACAAGGCTATATGATATTACATAACCCTGCTTAGGCTGCAATAAAATAAGTGACAACAAACATTAAAACAAGTGATAACAAATATTTCGCAAATCTGACTAGCTCACTCATGGATTAAACAATTCTCTGATCCTAGAAGGCAGCGAACAATTTAGGAACCAGCACTTAAATGCAACATCCTTCCTAATATGAGCTCTTTAGTCTTACTTACCATTATGATATATAAAACTTATTTGATTCTACCAATCACCTAGGGCAGGGGTCCTCAAACTCCGTCCCCCCAGATGTTGCTGAACTACAACTCCCATGATTCTCTGGCTATCTATGTAATTCAAAGAATCATGGGAGTTGTAGTTCAGCAACATCTGGGGGGGCCAGAGTTTGAGGACCCCTAACCTGAGGTAACAATTACTTCCAAAAGTTTTTCTTTTTTTAGCTTTTTAAAAAAAAATTGTCGCAAGCCCAAGAGGTCATTATGCAAGCATATTTTGGCGTAAGCATCTGTTTTTAAATGGGCAAGATCTCAAAGAAGAGTGATCATATGTGGGCAGAGTTTGGACGTAATTAAATGTTACTGGTTCTCTGTTTGTCGGACACGGTGTTCATATGTGATTTGCAAATCCTCCAGGGGACGCATAAGTGCTCCCAGGTATCCCATTACAATTCCTGGATACTGGTTTCTGTGACACTGCATAGAGATTTTGTGTAAGTTGCCATGAAGTTTGCTTGGACTTGGTCAACAAAGCTATTTAAAGTTGGCTGTGCATGTGTGAAATTAATTCAAGAGAACATGTGGTGTGCACATTACCAGATCCTCGTCATTCACGCATTCATATGTGCAGCATAGACACTTGCGATTTAAAGACACGTGCACTCAAGCTAGGCTTTGTCATTGGAATGTAAGTTTTAGGAGTTCTATTTTCTCTTTTGTCTTTGGTTTTTACTTTACTTTTTTCATAGTTGCATTGTATTAATTATTGCAGATGTAATTTCAGGAGTAATTTATTTTCTATCCACAATAGGATAGGAGCTCTATTCTGTCAATATGAAGGTCTACACATGCAGTAATCATATTTAGCTATACTGTTTGCACAATTCTCTTTATTTTTGTGTGCCTTGCACTTGAGATTTCGTTTTTTGGGGTTTCCCATTGTATAAACTTAGTTAAGCTATATAAAACTCCCAATAAATATAAAGTATGTGTATGATGAGATTTTACAGAGAAACCAGTCCAAAATGTTAACCATATTTTAGCAACATTCATTCTTGAGCAAGATTGAGTTAGCATGACAAACACAGATTTAGCCAGATGTGCTAAGGAATGATAATTCTTAAAATTACAGTGGCTGCACAATCATAGCTTGCTTTTATACAGTAACTATTAAAAGGTAGTCATTCGGGGATCACTTGTTCTAGTGAAAGACTGTGGTATGCATGGTTTATTGATACATTACATGTGATTTCTGGATAGTCGGCTTAGTGGCATGTTTAAGTCAGATTCAAGATAAAAGCATATTGTTAAAAGTCAACAAAATTAAAACTGGAATTCATTTGGGAATTTGTGCAATTTAACACCTGTGCAGCTTTATCAAGGTCATTTGGCACCTGGAATAAATGTTATTTATTAAAGTCATTACATTAATATGGTTTCAATTTTTGAATTATTTATTGATTTACGTTTTCTGTATTTTTATCTTTTTTATTATCTACAAGGGTAACAGCGGCCTACGAGTCAACTACTACTAGACAGTTAATGTGTTTATTACTGGCCAATTAAACACATGAGCATAATTATGAACTTGCCAACTAAGACCCCTACCTCCCATTTTAGCTTCTAATTGCTAGGGAAGTTAAATGAGATTTTCTCCAACCACACTATCACTCTACCAAAGAAGGAAGAGGGAGATCTGTAAATCAAGATATAAGGTTTTCAGGTAGGCAGTTAACTACCTTTGATTGTTTATATGGAAGGGAATTGAATTAATTAAATCCTTCATAAAATTATAGTAAGCAGCAGATATCAAAAAAATTAAACAGAGCTTAAAAAGAATTCTACTTTCCCTGACCTGCCGAAAATAGTTTGTAATCTGCTAAATATCCCACAACAGAATGGGGGGGTGGAGGGACAGACAACAAAATATATAGAAAGAATGCCATTGATTATTCAAATAAATTACACAAAATAGAAACAGCAAAATATTAGTTCCTGAAATATTCTTAATATTGGTTGTTCCCAGTAAAAAAAAACATTTCATTATTCAAAATCTTTTTAAAATTGTATAAACATACAGTTTTGATAAAGTGTCACTGCACATGAAACGCGTAGATTTTATGCCGTGGCTCTGAAGATTTAGGACCTTTTTTTTGCTGTATGTCTATATATACTATTTTAAGAAGATTTTGAATAAAGATATATTTTTTTATCTGGGAACGAGCAGTGGTGAGAATATTTCAGGAACACATATTCTTCTGGGTTTTTTTTTGTGGATTATATTTTAGTAGGCTGACTACCCCTTGCATTACTGAGGATGGGGATATAATACATAGATATATAGCATTATGGCAGATCTGCATATCTGAAGATCTTTACTTGTCTTTAAAAAAGGAAAATACTCTTTTTCATTTTTCTTTCTTACGGTTTAATTGTTCAAATATCTTCTTTCAATCTTCCTGCCTTATCGACCTGAAGGGATCTAAGGCATGATCTGTTGTATTTCAGAATGCAATGATAAGCTATCCTTTACAGAATAAAAAATCGACCATTTACACCGACCATGCATGTGGTCAAGACCTTATCAAAACGGTCCATTGGACAGTACTGTTTACTAGACTTTTGCACAGCCTGCAAATCGATTTGTCTGAAAAAAATTATTGTTTTGGGCTCTTTCTTGCACATGTGGCATTTCAGTTCAAACTAATTTTGTCCATGCAATCACTTTGGGAAAAACTATTTGGATGAACAAAATGGAGCAAAACGTTGCATATCAGTGCACTGCAACATGTATACATAATATAAATATTAACTTAATAGAAACATCGATCAGGACACAAAGTTGATTTGATAAAAGCAGATTGAAAAAGATCGCTGAGTGCAGCTCCTTGCTTTAAGTTTATAAAGGTAGCACCGAGGCAAGTACCACATTAGTGAGAATTAAGGGGCGAGTGCCAAGATTATCTCTCATTAATATAAATATTAGGTATACATTTTGCAGTACACCAACAGGCACATTTTTTATGCCATTTGGTTCATAGATCAAGTAGGAAGATGTAACCAATAGAGTGTACGAAATGTAATATATAAATATTGATTTATTTGTTTTTTTACTGTTCCATCTGTGAATAAAATCAACATTCAATGGCTGTCCCATAAATATAACTCATTGTCTTTTTGGTGCCATGTACAGAATGTACAGAATTCCGAATCATGAAACAATCATGAAACAAGCAATACAGTTTGTCCATAGTCCATTTCTTTTGTTTTGTGATTCTTCCATATAAAGTTTCTGAGTTCAGGATTTTGGCCAAATTTCTGATTGTCCAAAATTTAGATGAATCACAATTTGTTTGAAACAAAATACACAAGTTGACGGTTTACTATTCTTGTACCCAAATTTAGTTTCTTAACTATTTGAATTCCAATATATTTAAACAGAAACAAATTGTACTGACCTCTTACCTATTACCAGTTTACCAAGATTCTAGCTAATAGTAGAAGTCCAATGAGTATTAGCGAATTGCATCTGCATCCAAAATTATATTTGACAGTTAAGAAATATTTGTTTCATAAAGAAAAAACATGGGATATCATATGGAATAATACAATCTATTGAAGAATCCTATTATTATAGTAAAGAACATTATGGGACGTACCACATTTTATGTCTTTAATATAATTCAGTTTAACCACTTCAAAAAGCAGCGACCATGTAATTTAGTGGAAACCAATCTGAAAAACGTAAAAGAAATAAATATTTACATTTGACACAAACATAGGTCTATAAATAATGCAGTTCATCATAACACATGTCTATTTGCATAATGCACTATATACATTCTCTTCCCCTTAAGGGAAAAGAAGACATGGACCAAATGTACCTTAAGTCATATATAACAAATGCTATAATGTTTCAAAGCTGCTTAGAGCATATATTGCAATTAAAAAGAAATGGTATAAAGTTTTTTGTTTTTTTTAAAGACTTACTGTCAATATTTAATGTACAAGATTCCCTTCAGCCAGGGCCATACCTAGAGCATTTGGCACTGGGCGGTTCTCTTTTTTACAATCTCTCCCCCCCACTCCCCTCCACCCACCACCAACTTTAAAATGTAAAAAACACTCTACATTTTTTTTTAATGAATATAGCACTGAGTGTATGCTGCCATTACATTATTACAGAATCTCAGTCGTACTGTTAAAGCACTGTAGCGCACAACCGGGCCCCTGAAGCAGTGGCGACTCAAGGAACAATATATAGGGGCAGCACATAAGATGCCACGGTCAAAACTGGGGGAGAGGGGGTTGCATTAATAATATTCACTAGAGGATGGGGTAATGTGATGGACATCAGACAACACGTTTACATAGAATTTACATTAGCCAACCAGATTTCTTGTTCTGGGCTGGTTGACACCGCTTAACTATTGTTGTTTAGCAGATAACTCCCCTATTTGCTATCCTTATGTGAGATTGCCATATTTAAAGACACCAAATAAGGGAGCTATCTGCTAAACAGCACCCTAATTTGGTATCTTTACATATGAAATCTCACATAAGGGCACCAATTTAGGGAATTATCTACTAAGCAGCTAAAAAGAAAATCTAAAATGTTGAAGCCTTTTTCTACATTTTAATCTTTCAGTTGTTTAGTAGATAACTCCCTTACTCGTTATCCTTATGTGGGATTGACATATTTAAGGACACCAAATTAGGGAGTTATCTACAAAACACACACACATTTATGTACACACACAGACGTATATCTGTGTGTGCACATCTGTGGTTGTGTGTGCATATAAATACACACACAATCACAGACATTCACAACAAACACACACTTAACCACACACATAATCACAGACATACACAAACACAATCACATATTTATTTATTACTGGCGTTTATAAAGTGCCAAAAATTCTGCAGTGCTGTACAATTGAGAAAAAGACAAAACACTATAAGAACAGACCGATACAAGAGGTAGAGGGCCTTGTCCGTGAGCTTACAATCTAAAGGTTAAAGGACCACTATAGGCAACCAGACCACTTCAACTTAATGAAGTGGTCTGGGTGCCAGGTCCATCTAGCATTGCAGCACATGCGCATTCAGCCAATGACATCAGAAGAGGGAGGAGAGTCCCAGCGCCGAGGGAGCCCGGCGCTGGAAAAAAGGTAAGGGATTAACCCACTTCCTCCCCCTTCAGCGCCACGGGAATGGGACAATGAGGGTGGGGGCACCCTCAGGGCACTATAGTGCCAGGAAAATGAGTTTTTTTTCATGGCACTATAGTGGTCCTTTAAAATGGGTAGATGAGACAAGAGGTAACAGAGGAATTTGTATGTGATGGCAGAGAAAGTTAATGGTAAAACTGCAGCAGCTGATAGCATGTGAAGGTAATAGGGAGATGATTAGCTGTGGTTCCAAACAGCTGAAGGTGCATGCTATATAGTTAGAAGGAACCAGGGTGGGTGGGTAGAGCTGAGTAAAATTAAATGGCCTTCATGTTGCAGGAATGGATGGTTTAGGTCTTTTAAAGCTGCACTATTCAACATTGAATGGCCTTCTTCATGTTGCAGGGATGGATGGTTTGGGCCTTTTTAAGCTGCAGTATTCGAAATTAAATGGCCTTCATGTTGCAGGGATGGATGGTTTGGGTCTTTTTACGGTCATGATCACTTCCAGCAGCTCTAACAGTATTGCAGCAATGCCTAGATGTTGAGGCATCATGCAATACCCTCCCTCACTGCCTCACGTGGTGCCCGGCAGTGAGGCAGACCATCGGAAGCCATCATGCAGTGAAGAGAAATAAAATGAAAAAATAAATTAATAAATATATATTTTGTTTAAGTTATCCGTTCTCTCCCTCTCCCTACATATGTACTTACCCGATCGCCGCCGTTCCCCCGCTGGCAATCGGCATTGTTATTCTATGATGGGCACTATCTAACAGCCCAGACAGTGCCCTCTCTGCAAAATTAGGACCCCAGGGGCCATGTGATCACTCTTAAAGAGCCGTCACATGGCGGCAATAAGTGTCTATTGTGCTGCCAGCAGGGGAGAGGGACTGCCTGAACTGCTGGTGAAAAAAGTAAAAAAAAAAATAAAAAAAATAATATATATATATATATATATATATATATATATATACTACGTGTATTTTTTATTAATATATACATATATTAATATAAAAATACACTTAGAGTAAAATTACACATGTATATAAATATATATAACATATAATAACTATATATATATATATTGTATATATTTATTATTATAAAATAAATAATTAATTAAAAATAAATGAAAACATTTAAAAATATATATTTTTTAATTATATACATATATGTAATTTTATTCTAACTGTATTTTGATATTAATATATATATATATATATATATAGATCAAAATACACTTAGAATTAAATTATATATATCTATGTATATATAAATAAATAAAAATAATACGAAATATACATATGTCCATATATATATAATTACATAAATAATTTTAAAAATATACATGTAAACTTCAAAAATATAAATATGTATATATATTTAAATTCTACATGCATATTTATGTATATTTTTACATAATTAAGTAATTTTATTGATTGTAATTTGGGGGACCAGCCTGACAACCCAGGCCAAAAGTCCAGAGAATTTTATTTGCTAGCACTATATTTAACCTTGTAACTTTCCAAGACACCCTAAAACCTGTACATGGGGGGTACTGTTTTACTAGGTAGCCTTCGCTGAACACAAATTTTAGTGTTTCAAAATAGTAAAACATATCACAGCCATGATATTGGCAGTGAAATTGATGTTTTTTTGCATTTTTTACACACAAACAGCACTTTCACTGATGATATCATTGTTGTAATACATTTTACTTTTTTTAAACACTAATATTTGTATTCAGCGAAGTCTCCCGAGTATAACAGTCCCCACATGTAGAGATTTTATAGTGTTTCTGAAAGTTACACGATCAAATATAAGGCCATTGAAATTGCCAGATTGGTAATGTTGCCTTTGAGAGCGTATGGTAGCCCAGGAATGAGAATTACCCCAAGATGGCAAATCATTTGCAAAAGAAGAAAACCCAAGGTATTGCAAATGGGGTATGGTCAGTCTTTTTTAGTAGCCACTAGCTTTCATATAGTTTTTTGCATTTTTAACAAACAACCAAACATAAATGCTAACTTTGGCCAGTGTTTGTGACTAATTTGCTACTAAAAAGACATGCCCCAAATTGAATACCCTGGGTTGTCTACTTTTCAAAAATACATGGTTTGATAGGGGTAAATTACATTGGCCAGCTTCAAAAATGTCCCAAATAGGACATGGGTGCATGATGACCAGCTGTGAAAATTCCAAGTTAGAAAACTGGAATGCGCACCCTCCAAATAAGGTATTTTAGCACCCATAGAACCCTACACACCTATATATGGGTGGCATCACTGTACTCAGAAGATGTTGCTGAACACATATTGGGGTGTTCTTTGGCAGTAACCCTTAACGTTCTCAGTACATGTATTCTTAAATTGCAATGTGTGTCAAAAAAATCACCAATTTTTTTAATTTGTTTTTATTTGGCATAGATTAGTGGTAAAATGGTTGCATGAAAAGAGTCAAAATACCCCAAGTTTAATACCGTGGGTTGTCTTCTTTTAAAAAATATATACATGTGAAAGGTTATTCAGGGATTCCTGACAGATATCAGTGTTACAATGTAACGTGTTAATTTTGAAAAAAAAAAAAAGGTTTCGAAATAGCAAAGTGCTACTTGTACTTATTGCCATATAACTTTCCACTTTTTGGCAGGGAGGGTATTATGGCAAGGTGTGTATTGGGGGTATAATGGCAGGGAGGGTGGGGGTATAATGGCAGGGTGGGTATTTTACAGCTATGAGGAGGGGGGATGTCACAGTGTGAATTTACAAGTGCCCTATAATATCATTAACTCACCATTCAGGGGGCTGCAGGAGCAGCAGGGACTGTCTCAGCTCTTTCAGCTTTCAACCAACTCCTTCCCAGGGTCAGGCCGTGCAGGGCTCCAAGGGGCAGGAAATCTAGACAGGCTGACTTTGATCCCCTGTATGTTCAGAGTGGAGTGAGGAGTTAATAATGAATGATCCAGCAATTTATTATAGCAAGTAATATAATGGGGCCCATGTGCGTGCAATATAACAGAACCTGAAGCCATGCTCTGGAGGGAACATACTCAATACTGAGAAATGAATAGCCATTGGCAAATACTGTTGGACTCATAATGCTTTGCGGTACTTTATGGAGTTGTTCACTGAAGTAAGCAAATTAGAGAATTAAGAATGAAAATGCACACATTAAAAGACCACTATAGGCACCCAGACCACTTCAGCTTAATGAAGTGGTCTGGGTGCCAGGTCCAGCTAGGGTTAACCCTTTTTTTTTTTTTATAAACATAGCAGTTTCAGAGAAACACACATAGCAATTTAAGAATACATGTACTGAGAACGTTAAGGGTTACTGCCAAAGAACACCCCAATATGTGTTCAGCAACATCTTGTGAATTCTTTCCTATGGACTGGCTGAATGCGCGCGCAGCTGCTGCCGCGCATGCGCATTCAGCCGAAGAGGAGGAGAAGAGGGAGGAGAGGAGGAGGAGAGCTCCCCGCCCGGCGCTGGAGAAAGAGGTAAGTTTAACCCCTTCCTCTCCATCCAGCCCAGCCCAGCGAGTATGTTTTCCTGGCACTATAGTGGTCCTTTAAGTAAAAATAACTGAGTGGAAAAATTGTTATTTTGACCTTGAATGTACAGTTTCTCACAATTTACTGATTTGTAATATTCCAATAGCAATAACATCTGTTCTGATGCACAAAGGCATTTTTATTTACCGTTTTTGTCAGATCAGCATGATTTTTTTGTGATGCTATCATGTCCAATGATACTGACATACAGTGAATGCTTGCTCTATATCTTCTAAATATTTTATCACAAATGATATCACAATTGCCTTTTATTAGCATATGTCCAGCCTCCATTAACAGCATGTGATGCTTAATATGAAGCAGATGCCTATTTTAGCTAGGCAAGTGTATCTAGGTGGGTGTTATGTTCACATGAAGTACTAATGTTTACATTCTACTGGCATTTTTGGGAATCTGCAATCACAGAAATAGGAGCAGGTAACGTACAAATATCCACAGGCAATTATTTGACATTTGTTATTCATGTCACCCCTTTCAACATGTTATAGAATTATATTTTTGCTTCCAAGTTATTTTCAAACCTATATAAAACACACAATACAATACAAGGAATACAAGACATTCTCTAATATGATATAGCAAACCTAAATATTAGTTATTAGTTATAACAATTATACTAAGAATTCAAATTCCATGAAAGTTTTTTTTTTCAAATGTAGGTATCATTCAACATAAATCTATACACTAAATAGTTGTTATGTTTATGTACTAGTTGAGCATCCCACAGTTCAAATTAATGTTATGTTTCATTACTTCTTTTTAACTACAAGAACTCTGTAGTACAGTGGTTGAAGAATGGACAATTTTCACTTTTTCTTGGAAGATATGGGTAGTTTTGTGATGGTGTGTTTCTAAGTATCCACTGTTACAGACAGACTATCATGTTTCCAAGAAAGTAGCAAAAAGTGTATAAATTTTTAAACTATTATATCTAAGGCTTACGTATGTGACCTTAAGTGGATTAAAGGACAAGACAGATGACTTTGGGAATTTCAGCAATGCCAAACATTAAGAATCCTGTTATACGCAATGGAACAGAAAGTATTAAAAGTCCAATGTAATACAGAATGTGAACATTATAGAAAAAATAAATAGAGAAAGGTAATACAGAAATGTAATGTGTGATTGCAAAACATATCTAATGGTTTAAGATTGCTGTTCAACAGGACTAAGCTCTCCACCTCTGTTTTCTGAGTGTTATCTCTTGGATGGTATGTACTTCTCTATCAACTACAATGTATATGTCAAATATCACAGCATTGATTCCACAGCAAATATCTGTGTGTAGGTTTTATGAAGTACATTGTGGAATGTGTATAAATAGCAAGTGCTGCATACCAAAGATGGTATGTCTGACTAATTGGTTATATTCTATTAAATAATCAAGCTCTGTTTTCTTGTTGAAATGCCCTCCTTTCACAAATCTCCTAATGCTTAAAAGAAAATCAATGATGTCCTCTAATCAATACCATGCAGAGTCAAAACTGCCCAATCAGGACTCGTAATACTATATGCAACTTACGGCTGTGAACATGTCTTGTGCTGATTCTACTCTCTGCGGCATTCTAACCTTTTACACATGTCAACATTACATGGTAGAGTGGAGGGCCCTGAATAGGGAAATTATATATATGTATATATAAACCAAAAAGATGAGAGCACTCGCTGGATTTAGTGAAAAATCAAATACTGTATGTGTATTCTATTTTGCATCAATTCAATCAACTATTCGACCTGAACAGGTCTTTATCAAGATGTTCAGATTGAAGCGTTGATTGAATTAATGCCAATTTGAATACACATATTTGATTTTTTACTAAATCCAGCAAGTGCTCTCATATTTTTGGTTTACATATAGTTTCAGCGCAGTGCAGCACCGTGGTTTAACTAACGTATATTTTATTAGGTTTTTACAATAAACTATATATAATAATAGATTATAATCTAGGACATCATAATAAACCACGAGTCAGAAGGTTGTGTAGTTTATCAAAGCCTCCAGAACCTCAAAATGATATTTCCCCCCCTAATACATGCTTCAGCAATATGTATATTTAATATGACATGATATGTTTAAGTTGAGATTATTGTTAGTAAAAGTATGGAGATATTGTAGGAGTTAAGGACCAGTGTTGGGTATTGTAGGGGTAAAGGGGAGGACTTTATTGTAAGAAACATACATGTCTTAGTGTTGTCCGAGATTAGTGAGAGCCAACAGAGAGTTAAAACGGTGTTAAAAGTCACTGGAAGTGTAACGTCACAGCTCTTGGAGGAAGGAACATGTACCGTCCCTCTCACATATACATGTATTTTAAATAAACTCCGTTTATTTTACTTTTCATTAAATAAACTACTAGGCCAATTATGTTTTGAAAATAGTTAAAATGGGCATAATATGAAAATACATTATTGATGGAGTATGGTCATAAAGTCATACACACTACCCTGCCAAATCCTGCCCTTGTACCATGTGACTGGCTTATGGTATAAATGGCAGGTTCTGAGGGATGATGTGAGTGTTAAATATAATGTGAACATGTGAAGCTGAGCACTAGATAGATGGACAGAATATCTGCGGGTTATTTATTCTGTTTGCACCATTTTTTTATTTATTGGGATTTTGCTCCACATTTAGCACCTTACTCAATGTAAACATAGATATGACACTGAATGCAACTCATGATATGAAGAGATATAGAGTTTATGTATAGATATATATGTATATATTTGTACCCATTTACATCTGACTCTACACTTTTTTTCCTCTCCATACTATACTAATTAGGCTATGTATGTGGCTTATCAGGGACTTGGCCCAGGTGGAGTTCAGCCTCTCTCCTCTGGAAGCAGCAGTGCATGGTGCCTCACCAAGGGCGACCCCCTGCAGGCTCCTCCTTGGCAACCAGGGGCTTGGCTGCAGTTATCCTGTGGTAGGAGCATGGAACATGTATGACCTGGAGCAAGTCTTTGTAGGTTTCATTGGCTGTGGTAGAAGTTCCATTATTGGATTGATTTCCATTTCCATGGTGTACCTTTTATATGTGCCTATATTATAAAGCTGGCCTTTTGAGTTGTGGTGGGCTAGATGGGCTTTGTATTCATCAAAGTTGATAAATACACTGTCACAATATCACAAAACCATGAATTGTTGTCATTAACCAAGCAGCCAAAATTGCTGAATTGGACAAACATCGCCAATTCTTGCTTCTAGCTCAGTTATTGTGTCTTGAAATTAGAAATTTTCTGGTCAATTGCTAACTATTTTTAAAGTTTAGTGACGAACCTCTTAAGTATATTAATGGATGAGCTGATGATTTCTGAGATGTCCTTCACCCAAATTTAAATATCATCATATAACTAGTTATAAAGGACATCAAGGTCTCTAAAAGTATGCACATTTCATCACGGATACCTTAGCACACATTTTGGCAACAGCAATACAATCACCCTCATTGGACAGACTATTTTTGTTTCACAATGACTACATTTTATGTATTTAAATTGTACAGTGAATTTAAAGATTTGTCACCAGTCTAGAAGTGACAGGTCCTCATTCCCTCACTCCAGTAAATGGTAATACCACCCAACTCCAGCGTCCTGAGAATCAGAACACTGGTGATAGGGAGGTAAAGGGGGCAAGCCAGTGAAATATTTGCATCGGTAGCTCTGCGCCCAAAGGGTGACCCTGATGGAAAGGGGGTGAATCCATCCAAATTAATGTAAGGTCAACCTGGTGCGAACACACACCAGGCTGCCTTCCATCACTCATGCTGACTCACTGAGGGCAGGACATGCAGAGAGTACTGTGTCAGTGCTCCCTGTAGGGTCCTAATTCCCTAAATACAGCACGAACGAGCATGTCTTATGATTGATGGGGACAGTCCCCTGTGTCCCTAAAAGCAGAACAAGAGGGAAATAAGGAGGGACAGCATTCAAAAATTGAGACTGTACTGCTGAAATTGGGTTGTTTGGAAGGCATGTGAAAGCACTTGCATGGAAAATTAGAGCAGTGGAGTTAAGACATAATGCCCCATGATGCTTGTGTAAGGCCATGTGTCTGGAGAGAATTGCAGTTTGAGTGTGAGCACACATATTCATTTATTCCACAGTGTTGTAGTGTTGTATGCAGGAATGGCGATGGGGAGGTGTAAACAAATTACCCAGAATGCTCTGGCTTTGGCAAGACAGCCAAGAATGTGATGTAAAAATGTATAAGGTTCAGATTTCATTGTTCTTAAATACCTTTTGGTTTGTGCCTGTGAGAGTTCCACTTTAAAGAGTTGATTTGGCCTTGGTTGAGAATCTTAACTAAATAAATAATTAGTAGTTCTGAATCTATTACACATAGATATTCTGAACAAACAACATTTGGCCTCACAATTTTGTAGCGCAATACAATTTGTACTACAGTCCCAGTGTAGAGTTTGTCAGTCAAGATATATATCACAGTGTGAGGACATATAAAACCATAATGAACCAGAAAATCCCTACGTTTAATTCTCCTTCTTTAGACATTAAAAAGGGAACTCGTTAATCAAAACATATTATTCACCAGAATATAACAACATTATAGCAATGACTATTCTTTACTCCCATAAAAGTCATATTGTTGTAAGTAACAGTCGTTATTCTATATGACATACAAATTGGTTCATTACAGCTTTTTTATAAGATATTTATCTTATATCTATTATACTTAGATAAGATTGAAGGTGGGAAATGACCCATATATGTTTTCCTGGAAATATTGCAATCTTGAATTTATCACATAGGAAACTACAAAAAGAGATCAGAAGACCCCTATCTCGTTAAATCTAATTAAGCCATGTTTTGCGTTATATTATTACTAAGTTAATATAAATAATATATGGGAAGGAACACTGCACTCAATATTTAAGTTATGAGCTTGCAAAGTTTATTCAGTTATTACGTTAAAACAGCTTGGTCACCTTCATATTTTCCAAAGACTCCTGAAGGTGGCAAGCCTGATTTCTGTGCTGTAGCTGGGGTTGAAGCTGAACGTAGTTACAGTATACTTATCTGCAATCAAGCAGGCAAGCCCACTAAGAGCAGGACCATGCAGGGAGTACTGTACCAGGGTCCTTGATCCCTGAGTGCAGCGTAAGTACATCTAATAGTGCTACACTTTTTGGAAACTGTTCCTTTGTCTGCAAAAAAGTGGGAAACCATGAAACAAAGTGGATACATCAGGAAACGACCCAAAAAAACAGGACTGTCCTGCCAAAATTGATATTACATTTTTTAGTTTCATGTTAATGATATAAGCCGTAAACTTGTTATATTTCCAAATTCGATGATTAAACTTCTAAACATGGAAATTCTTATACAGCTTACATTTTAGTATATCATTTTTAAAATCTACCTACTGAAAGCTAATGTTTTAATTATAGAAACTGCACAATTGCTGATAAACAATATATAGTCTATATTACTTTTTGTTTATGCTGTAAGTAAAAATGGGAACATGAAAAATATTTTGAGACTTGTTTTCCAACTTCTCTTTTAATTTAATCAAGGACACCACCTAGGGGCTAACAGTTGAATTGCAGTTTAATTTTTTGGGTAAATTAAGCCCTACTAATAGATGTGTTGGTAATATTCAAAGGAAGAAACATAGTAACTTAAACTTTGGTCAGGTCTTTGAGACTGAGTTTTAGTCTTAGGAGACTTCTGCATAAGGAATCAAAGTGTTCAACCAGAATGGGCAGCAAATAATTAAAAGCCGAAGCTGGTGGCTGCCAGTTTCTTATTTTGTACATGGGTACACTATTGGGCGTTGGTCTCACAATCACATAGTATGATTGGCAAATGCTACTGATTATTTTTCCTGACTGTTCCTCCCAGCGTTTCCTAACTAGTACAAGGCAAATTACATGAAATAAGAATAACTAGTGATTGCTGATCCTGATGACTATATTATTATTCCCATATACAATACAATTATTAAAGGAGGGAGACACAACTCACTGTAGGTTGGGATAGAAGAGTAAATCATAACAGTGAGTCAGGGAGTTCTAAACCTCCGAAGACCACCTATTAAACAACCACGGCTGCCAAATCCTCTGGTTCTAAGCGCTGTGTACACCTCCTCCAAAATTTATTCTCTGGCTCAAGAAAATAAATAACTAAACTATAACGTCCCAACTCGACTATTACAATTTTTTTTTTTTTTAAATGAGTCTACACATAAAAACCCTTGCTTCTAGCTGGATATTGTTTTCCATTGAGGTCAGATATAGGACATTTCCTGAGATGCCCTGTGATTGGCTCTACAGGCCTCGCCATTTCCAGAAATGTGCCGTTATGTTTCCAGCCATGCAGCAGGAATCATACATTCTTTTTAAATAGTTGCATAGAGACGGTATGGTTTATTTATTTGGATCCTATTTCCATGGGCAGGAGATCAGGATTCAATGTTTTGACATAACTGGATAATATATGTATGAAAATAGCTTATATTACAGCTTTTATAACATTTTTAAAGGCTTGACAAGACCATTTATTTTTTTATTTTGATACAGGACAATGAGCCGTATTATATATTTTTGCAAACTTACATTTGGCATTGGTTTTCCAAAGTTGTCCATCCATGGGCATGAATGAGCAGGATTGAACACTGGGCCAAGTAAAAGTGGTTATTGTGCTTTTAAGGAAAGATGCAAACCCTGCAGTCTGCAAAAGGCATTCAGTGAAAACACCACTGGCAAACAAAGTCATCCTACAAAAACAAATCAGCATTTTTTTCTGCATGATGCATGATGCATACCTGTGTTTAGACTTGGAGCATTCTTCAAAGAACTATTGATTCTGCTCAGTTGTGATGAAGTAGTTAATATGTTTAGTTTTGCTCATGTAAAGAAATCAAATACTTTTATTTTTTAAAGTCATCATTTACACCTTACGTGGAGATGCGTTGGTGTGTTTGCGTTGTCTTGCACCGTGTTAGGTTCAATCACTGTAGAGCAAGATTATATTATTTTTGTATGTTATAAACGCCTTTATAATAATGTGACATTAATTAAAAATATGTAGTTTCACATCATTTCTGTTACTTCAAAAATTGTGAGTTCACTAAACCAAGAGAAGTGAGCAGGGAATTTAACTATCTACTATTTTACAGTTCTGTCTCAATGGCTTGTTTGTAAACTTCATTAAATGTTAGCAAGACCTTTCAATTCACTGTGATTTTTCAGAGTTTTACTGTGTATTGCTGTTTAGAAAAAGCCAACATAAAACACAAAAGTACATGTTAATCACTCCTACGTATATCACCGTTGGAAGAAATAAAGAAGGAAAAGAACATTGGTTGATGTTTGACCTTCTATTTTTAAGTAGAAACAGAATTCACACCCAAACAATAATGAAAACAACATGAACAAGTATTGCTCATAACGTGCCATTTTTCAGGAGTCTGCCTTGTTCTGCTGCAAATCAGTATTTATGCAAAAGATCCAAAGGCAGGTGCACGCATATTCCAATAAGGGGGTACATCAGCTAATGTACAACCAAGTAGAGAGGGCTTATAAACTAAAGCCTAAAATTGCTAATTTTGGTCAAAAATAGGTGAGCTTTAAGAAAATTTACCCATACATCTAGATTCTATATATAGTCATTTAGATCACATTTTGTAAGCTGGGTTTCAAATCAACACAATTTACAGTGAATAAAAGCCTTCTTGTGGAATAATATTAAAATTACATTGTAGCATTTGAAAAATCAACCATGTCCACTTCAGAAAGGTTTAAAAGAAAAACAAGGATTGCAAAATATGCACTACAATAAGCTGCAGTGGTAATGGTGCTCAGCATGCCCCTCTAAGTCCACTTATTTTGTAATGTGTATTATTTATTTGTTAGCTATAAGTACATTGTAGCAGGGAAATCATTTGTCACCTTGAAGGAGATCCATCAGTTTCCAGGATATGTAATAATTATGTTGGGATATAACCTACATTTCACTAAAATGTGCTTGTGAGCTCTAAAAGTAAATAAATGCACAAACAAATGAAAAAAAAAAATTCTAAATGCAGAAATTCACACTGCTGTTTTTGGCTCTATCTTAGAAACAAGCATGTCCATCTTGGATCCCTATCATTCATTACTATAAGCTTTAACTGGCCATTTGCACGTGTCAGTCATCATAGATGAAGCTCAAAGGATGAGAAACATAAACATGTATGACCTAGCTGGGCCTGGACTCATTTGAAGGAAAATGTCCAAGACGAGTTATAGTTGGTTTTCAGTGTTTTAAACAATGTATCATTTCTGTAGAATATGCAGCCTACTTCTTAGCTATGTTGGTGGTAAGTGCTGATGTCTGCTGCAGCTTCCACGCATATAGGGACCTCTTCCTCCTTGCCACAGCCTTCAGAAGGGGTTCGGCGGGAGGGAGGCCAGGTATGTGTGTATGCCACGGCACACTGATATGCGTCAGATGCCATCTTAACTTAGGCCCGCGCAGAAGTGTTTTTTTGTATCCCCTGCAGTGACATTCCGCGTATAAGACAACCCCCAAATTTAAACTAAAATTTTTTTAGAAAAAAACATAGTCTTATACCTGGAAAAATACTGTAATCTTATTTTTTATTACCTTGTCAACGTAGTAAATAAACCCCACACTGCATTTAAATGTTTTTTTTCTGCCAAACACTAGTTTGGGTAAACCGACTACTGTTCATTTATTGCTGGGAGGTATTATGTGATGGATACAGAGTGGACTAATGTAGAACACAGTATAGTTTAGGTACTTGCCAAGTTTCATACAACAATGCAGTTTTCTGTAACTAATTCCTTGTTTTTACTTTCAGACCAAATAAGAAAGGAGACGAGACCAAAAAGAACAAGCAGAAGAGAAAAGATGGAGATGTACCAAGAAAACAAAGGCAGAGAAAACAGGAGAGAAATCAGAGAGGGGATGAAAGGCCAAGTGAAGTCAAAGACTAGGATACGGAAAGTGCAGAAGGTGCAGCCAAAAGCTTTCTGCATTACCTTTGGACGTTGTAGGCCTCACAAGTGTGACTGGCTTTTGATGCTGCTATACTGATCGCATCCACATTAGACTGTACCCCTGGATGGAACGGGACTGTTTACATACAGCGAAGGCCTGTGCAACATTCTAAGCCTCCGTCATCCTTAATGTGGAAATGCTAAAAAAAAGAAAGAAAATTTTAGGTGAATGAAAGCCAGGAAGAAAATATTGAGTTAAAGTGCTGATAAGTGCGCAGTGGATGATTTAGTCTTGTATGCTTCCTTTGCGTCTTTCAAAGACAACTAAGACATTTTGTATGTAATTATGAATAGTATAGAAGATATATCATTATTATGAATGACACCTGGATGAGCAACGTTTTTCTTTTTTCTTTTGTAAGATATTTTGAAGCTGTTTTTATTTTCAAAAATTATAGGCAAGTTATATGCAGAACTCAATGGCACCATTCCTCTAACACATTTATGTGGTTTTATCATAAAAAATTACAAGAAGTACATGTTGCTATGAAAACAATGAAATGGCATATGCAGTAAAATAATGGTTATGTCTTTCCATGCCAGCTGTAGAATTGGATCTTTTCCAAATAACTTTATATCCTACAGTTCAATCGAATAATAATTACAAAAAGGCAGGATTCGGTGGTTAAAACCAAATATTATACATGACATGTTGCAAAGGCTACAAACAGGAACTTGAAGCACAAAATAAACTAAATGTTGTTTTTTATGCCTCCTCTTAAGAACACAAAACCCACTAACGGTCCTCAACTCTTCCTTCCCCATGTATTCTCTCTTTCTCTTATTGAATGCCTGTTTCTAAATTCACATCTATATCATCCATGTATCTCCAAGCACCACAATAACAACAAACTTCTTTCGCCACCAGCCTTCCACAAGCACTTCTCAGTAACCTGCTATTTTCAAAGCGTTTTCCTCTTTTCCTTGAAATCTTTTCTCTTGTACCTTTCAGCATCTCTATGTTCCTCTGGGCCTGGTCGTGTCAAACTCATTCCCAGTTGTTTTTTTCAGCCCCTTCATGCCCATCAGCTTTTTGTCTTCAATCTTCCAGGCCGAAGTATGCTCCTCTTTAGCTAAGTCCCCTTTCCTTTCATTCCCATTCTTTCCCTTACAGCCTCTAACCATCTCATCCATTTCCCATTTACACACCATCAATGTATATATATACTGTAGTTTTGTTCATTATCCTTACTGTTTATTTCAACTCACTTCTGCTACTCTCACTATGTTCCTTCCTGCCTCCTTCTTGTCCATCTTACTTCCTTGTTTTCTTCTCATGCCACTTACTATTTCACTCTGGCACTATTCTTTAAAGACTTCCCGTACTTAGCAATTCCTTATTTCAAGATCCATAATGTTTTTTGCTGGCAAATGCCTGGGGCACTGTGCAGACAGAATGGGCCACAGAATCGGTCTAGCCCAGCCTGATATCACCACCGCTAAGCAAGCTCTCTGCTTTTGGGGCCCATTCATGCCTGTTTAATATAGTAGGTATATGGCTAGATGGTAGAGGCACTGGCTCTTCATTCACCTAGTTCTGGAGTGCCAGTCATACCCAACTAATGGCAGCCCTGCTTGTTGCGGTCTTATATAAAATGTGAGCGAGTGAGTGAGTGAAGGTGAATCGGATATCACTCATATTTTTATTGTTAAATTACAACATTAAAATGTAAACACATTTGTTTTTACGTTCACGATAAATAGGCATTTAATTTATTAAACCTAGCCCCAGCAATAACCTGTTTTACAATGTATGGTTATTTATTATTTCTAAGCAAATATGGGCAAAAAAAAATTTAACAAAAAATAAACCTTAGAAGTAAAATTGCTATGTTTCTCAGTTTTATTTAATGAGGCATAGCATATACTTTTCAAGGCAATAGCAGATACATCATGGTCAACAGCATGATACCTTATGCATCTATCAAATGCTTTGGCTACACATGAACGAGAACAATTTTTTTCAAATAAAACCAGGCTTTGCCTAGCAACATTTTTTTACAGTTAACAAATTAAAAGAAATATGATATGCACATGTATTTTAGTGGAGCATTTTGCAGCCTTTAAGAGTTTGTAGTGGTTCTTTCTGTGCAAACTCAAAGAAAATTCTTGAACAAAATGTTATTCTGCTTTGCAAGAGATGCTGTTTAATGTATTGGACGTCAGAATGGTTTTCAGACGAACATGGTGTCCAGACATAATTACTTTCTGTGCAGGGCACCATGTTCTAGTCCTTTGCTTTCATTTTAACTGCTTTATCTATCATACATCTGTCTGCATGTTAAAGAAAAAAAAAACATTTTACACTGACCATCACCTTTAAACCTTCTGCTGCTGGTGGGACCTTAAAAGCAGTGCTGTGTGTCTGGCTGTAGGCCCCTTCCAGAAGTAGAGGGGTTAAGTTGTCAGGCAGAATTAGCAGATAAAAGCAAAGAATTGGTATGTCATTGAAGAATAGTGATACTTTTTTCCCAGTCATGTTATCTTCAGAAAAGCTTATTTTTGTTTTGTAATCTGCTTGTCAACCAGCATGGAGGAAAAGGGATACAACTTCAAAGATGTTGTGTATCTAATTAAACAAACTGCCACTTCAATAAATATACTTGTTAAAAGTATGTTTTTTTATTACTATAGAAACGACAAATCTATTTTATTGGAATACATGGTTTTAATACAATATTTGAGACATTACAATTCATTCCTATAAAAAAAATTTTTAATCTGTCTGTCTGTCTGTCTATCTATCTGTCTATCTGTCTGTCTGTCTTTCTATCTACCTGTTTGTCTTTTTCTTTATATATTTCATAATTTTTATCAAAGGCAAAATCGTTTTCTAATTCCTCCATATCACCCACCAATGTATTTAGGTTGTCTTTTTTTAAACTCTATAATGATTTTCTTAAGAACAGAATGTTCTAGTCCATTTGCTGGGTCTTTATTTAGGCGTAAACCTCTGGGAATTAGATTTTCTTTAATGTAGGCTTCCAGAAAATAAATTCCCACCATTTTTGGTCTCTTTAATAGATAATTTCTCTAAATTCTTAAAATATCCATACAGATTTTTAACATTATCACGAGATCCAATTTCTTCTTGCATAGAGAATAAAGAATTGAATCTAGCTTCTTTAGATTGTTTGACGTCAGAGAACATGCTTTATGTGCCATAAAAGTGAACACCTGGGTATGAACCGAGGAAAGATACTGAAATACTAAACCATCACAAAAAATACCCAAAGTAAACACCAGTGGAAGTGAAATGGTGAATTACCCTTTTGATTTTGCAGATAATAAGAAGATTCTTCAAGTTCTTCTTTAACAGATAAATAAAAACATATAGTCGAATAGAGCTTGACAGCTGCTTCTTCTTTTGTTTTTAGGGAAAAGATTTTTTAATAAGACAATCTGAATAGAGATTGACAGCCGCTTTTCAGAATCTGCTTTTTAAATAAAGATTTTCTAAACAATTCCTCCTCTTCCAGCAGCTCAGCCAGCTCTATGTTTTCTGTCTGTCTGTCTGTATGTCTGTCAATCTATCTATCTATTTATCTATCTATCTATCTATCTATCTATCTATCTGTCTGTCTGTCTGTCTGTCTGTCTATCTATCTATCTGTCTATCTATTTATCTATCTATCTATCTATTTATCTATCTATCTATCTATCTATCTATCTGTCTGTCTGTCTGTCTATCTATCTATCACAATCTCATTACAATCTCTTGGTAAGATAGATTCCTTTTTTTGAGACATTGTATTAGTTCTTTGTTACTGGTTTATGTTTCTAGCATTGCAACTAGAAGCACAGAGCTGGCAGATTTACCATTGACACACAAAGTTATAAAATATATTCACTGAATATTCCACACAACATAATTTAAAAAAAGAATGCAAATGCAAAGAAATAATTACAACGGGTGCTTAATGTGGAAGTTGTTGAAATATCATAAATCAGCCACAATTAACCTGTTATAGGAACTTGTGTAGAATTATAACCAAGGGAACGTTAAGTGCTACAACAATAATTATGACCTGCAATATTTATAGACTTGGTAATGTCAGCTTTCTATTGTAAGGCCTTGACATAGCAATAGATTCACAAATATAGTACATATGTAAAATGGATTTCCTAGAACATAAGGTCTCCTGGTGCTCTTCTTCACACTGAACTCGTTACAATGAAAACCATTGTTAAAAAGAACATTTCATGAGCTATGATGTTTTGTTAAAGGCATCAACCAATACACTTTCTACAAAATGACAGTATAAATGTTTCCACATGAGTCCATTTTTGCCTATTGATAAATCACTTTGGAACTTTAAATGGTTCAGTAGATATAGCATCTCTTTGAAGCCATTGTTTCTCAACATATTGTCAGGGTGGTCATTCTCAAAGAGGTTGCCTTCAATGAGCAGATTAATTCCAAATCCTTTCATGTATACGGATCTTTTGAAAATGAATTGAAATTTCTAAAGGTACATTTTACTATGAAGTTGAAGATGAATACCAAATAATGGGAAACTTAGCCCATTTGGGAATATTTATGAAGACCAGTTCTTTGGCAAAGTTCTAAAACTGGAGCAATTAGCAGAGATATTTTCTGGTTTCCATCATGAAGGTTCCACTATTACAACTTTTGCTCAACGTCTGGTTTATAAAAAATAAAACAACTAAAAAAAATTACCTCTTGCATACATTCTCACACTTCATATCAACATACACATTCCATGTGAGGAAAAAATGCTGATTTGCAAATCAACGTATATGAGAGAACAACATAATTCAAAAAGTCATACTAAAGGGACCTTCCAGACACCAGAACTAATAGAGCTAATTGTAGTGGTTCTGGGGCAAATACATAGTCCCTGCAGGCTAAGCACTGTACACGCTGCCTTTTATGAGAAAAAGTAGTGTATACATTGCTGTCCAATGTAACCTCTAGTGGCTGTTACTAGGACAACTATCAGAGGGTCTTCCTGGATGCAGTCCTGCAATGATTGCAGAGCTGACATTTGTCATCTCTACTCTCTGAATGGAGACATTAAATTGATCCATCTCTATGACGAGATGCTTATTGGCACAGGGATTCCCACATATGCACAATTGCCCCCCAGTCTTGTCCTACGAGGAAAAAAATGATTGACTGAGTTCATCAGTATTGATGATTAGGATGTTGCAAATGGTCCTACTTTGTGAAAAATTTGGACTGTATTAGATACTGGGGTATGTGTTTATTTATGTAAGAGAATATCTTACTATAATTATTACATTTGTCACTGTTATACCCCAAGCAAGTCTGATATTACTTACTTCCCTGACTTCCTCCAATAACCCCAGTAAAGCTAGGTCTTCTTATTGACTGACTTTTTTTGACAGTAGTTTACTGTAATTTATTTTCTTAGTATTTTTATTTTCTTTATCTACACTTATATTTACTTGTACATTGGGAACAATAATGTGTTATTCTACTTATTCTGTCTATGTATGCATTAATAAATGTCAAATTTGTTTGAAATATGAAACCTATTTTTTTTTTATTATCTGTACTATTTAATTAATTTTGTCAATAGGACTGATGTACCCTGGATCCTAAGCCTACTTATTTATTTTATCAACTGCCCTGAAACTTATCACCATCTTGGACACCATAGACTGCTATAAAACAAAGGACTGGTAGTAACTAACAAGGCCTGTTTACTATTCATGTAGTTAAAAACACATGATGGCTAAAGTCAAGATTCATGAGGCGCATATGTTACTGTTAATCTAGATACTCATTAACTAAAAGTCATACTCACAGTCAAAGATACTGTGACGAAAAATCACTAGATTTTTGGTCTCCATAAATTATTTGATGAAATAACCATCTAACTTTATCAGTACTAGCTACCTTAACACAAAGATTCTAATCACTGACCTTATGTTGTATGCTAAGATAATCACCAACCTTATTTCCCATTGGGTTTTGTGGCAAGTGGACCAGAGCAGAACAAGAAGGCCACGGTTTGAGCAGGATTTTGAGTTTGTGCAGAACAGGAAAGCCAAGCATACATGGATCCTAAATATCATACATGGATTCTGAATATCATACACAGATTAAATTCAGTTTTCCCGGCCCTATATTTATTTACAGATGCAAATAACGCATTTGACTTAAAGGATCACTATAGTGTCAGGAAAACAAACTCTTTTTTCCTGAAACTATATAACCCTTAGGTCCACCCCACCGTCAGGGCTCCCCTCCTGCTGGGCTGAAGGGCTTAAAACCCCTTCAGCCACTTACCTTTATCAAGCGCCCGTGTTCTATCAAATTTCCCTACCCTCGTCACTTCCAGTGAGGGAAATCAGCTGGATCCTGGGCTGCACATGCGTGCTAGCACTCCTGCTACTCCTCCACAGCAAGGTCCTGGAAGGTAAGTAAAACTACTTTTACACTTTCATTATAGTTAGTGCATTCACTAAGCTTAGGACATGGGGCATTTAGGGTTAATGTTAGGGTTCAAATTAGGGTTAGGATTAGGGACTTGTTTATATTTAGTGATATTTCACATTAGGGGAATATCTATAAATAGTGATTTTTTACTTTATTTTAACCCTTACCCCAAGGGTTAGGGTAAGAATAGAGTGTGAGAGAGGTTAAAATAACTAACCTAACCCTAATTTGAACCCTCACTTAACCCTAAATGTTCCATGTGCCTAAGCTTAGTGAATGCACTAACTATAATGAAAGTGTAAAAGTAGTTTTACTTACCTTCCAGGACCTTGCTGTGGAGGAGTAGCAGGAGTGCTAGCACGCATGTGCAGCACAGGATCCAGCTGATTTCCCTCACCGGAAGTGACGAGGGTAGGGGATTTTCACAAGGTTGGGGAATTTGATAGAACACCGGGCTCCCTCGGCGCTGGTGACTTTCTCAATGCTTTCCTATGGACATTCTATGGATTTTCGCATCCAGCGTCGCAGAAGCGCCTCTTGCGGCTGAAGGGTTAAAACCTGGGGGACCTGGCACCCAGACCACTCCATTGAGCTGAAGTGGTCTGGGTGACTATAGTGTCCCTTTAATAGACTGCTAAATCTTGATGGTTACTATATGGTTACTATATGGGCAATTATTTTTGATAACTATATCCTCACACTCTCTGAGGAAGTGTCTTGCCCAAAATGAAACTCATTACTGTCTCCCTCTTTTGTGACCCCCACCCCCCTCACCCGCTCTGCACGTTATGTCTAAGTATAATTTTATTTTTTATTAAAGGATGATTTTAGTCCATTTTATAGAGTATGACGGTTAAGTCATGAACATGTGTTGGTGACAGACATATGTCAAGTGGGAGGAGAACCTACAGAATAAGACAATTTGCTTTTTTTTTTATATAAGACAAAAAGGCCAGGGTAACTGCAACAAATTAATGTTTCATCTTTAGCCATAATCATGTATACTACAGTCAAACTGCTGTAATTTATTGTGGTTAATCTGAACTTTGGCCCTACCATCAAGGATGGTCTTTAAAGGGAAACTCTAGGCACCAAAACAACTTAAAGGAACAGTATATTGTTAGGAATACAAACATGTATTCCTAATGCTATAGTGCTGGATTAAAGTGCTTAGGTGACTGGCCTCCCCTCAAAATAGAGTTAAAAGCTATTTAACTTAAGTTTTCTCCATCGCTGCACTGGTATCGCTGCAGCTGGTTCCACCTCCATGGCTGGGGTTATCAATATTGATAGGAAAGCATTGGGAGACTTTCAATAAGAGGCATTAAAGCAGTGCATTTCTATGGGGAGCATTCGGTTTCTCCGTGCTCTACACAATGCAGAAATGAAATAGAAAGCACCTCTACTAGCTATCTGAGTGATGGCATCTAGAGGTGTTACTAGGAAGCAATGTAAATACTGCCTTTTCTTTAAAAAGGCCGCGTTTACATTGCTGAGCCTGTAGGGACATGCTTTAGACACCAGAATTATAAACAATAGGCTGTAGTGGTTCTGGTGACTATAGTGTCACTTTATGCTTACATCGTTACATAGAATGAAAAAAAGACTTGCATCAAGCAAAGATTCATCCAATAGCAATATCCTGCTCACAGTGTATTACCTTAACTAGTTTTGTGTAATCTGCAAATGCTGGTACATGACTTTCAATGCCTACTTCAAGAACATTTATAAATAGGTTGAATAGAAGTGATATTGGAACAAGCCCTGATGGATACCACTCACCACTTCTGCCCAGCTTGGAAATTTACCATTGATGACAACTCTCTGTAGTCTATCTTTAATCTAGTGTTCTACCCAAGAACAAGAATTTTCATCAAGAACAATTTATTTTAAATTTAAACACTAAACTATTGTGTGAAATTGTATTGAATGCCTTGGCAAAATCCTATTAGCTCACATGAACTGCAAACACTTGATATATACGTGTCAGGTCCCTTCTCCCTTGCTCATCCAACTTTGCCCTCCGTGCAGTGCTGACGGCCCGACAATCACCGCCGGCCACTTGTGTTCCTCCAGACAAGCCGCTTCCCAAACACAGCTGCAGAGAAGGAGGAGCCTTGGGAGAAATCTTAAAGGGACAGACGACGGAAATCAGAGAAAAGGGTGTACATGAAGGTGGAGCTACAGTAAGTGGACATGCCTCTTCTCTTTACCTGAACTCCACTAACCATTGATTCTTTGCTCAGTTATACTGTGATCCAGTCGTGCAAACTACGTTCAGTGCCTCCGACTACGATCCTGTGCCACATGTCCTGGCCTCTGGCTTTCCTGACCACTCTCTATTTGACCCCTTTTGTGCTGCATTCCTGTTTGCTCAAGGCCTTTTTATGCATATTTCGCTCTGTCTCTTAAACAGCGTTTTAACAATATGTCTACTTATTTCTTCGCAGACTGCAATTAAGACAGGTTGACAGTATTTAGGTTTCATAAATGCATGCTGACACTGGTGTTCCCAATGAATTTATAAATATTATCACTCAATAACCCTTCTAAACACTTTTTTTCTGTCCACTTTAGTTAAGCTGATAGCACTTTATTTTCCAGGCAGAGATTTTTAACCCTTTTTGATTATATAATAATCACGTCTGCCTTACTCCAATCCTCCGATGCAAATCCTAAAAGATTAAAAACAGAGGTTCACTTATTTCCTTAAAGGAACACTATAAGGTCAGGAATACAAACTATGTAACAGAGGTTCACTTATTTCCTTAAAGGAACACTATAAGGTCAGGAATACAAACATGTATTCCTGACCCTATAGTGTTAGAAACACTATTTACCCCCCTGGCTAGTAGCCATCTGAGGAAAGGCCAGTGGAGGTACCCTTAGGCTGTAATGTAAACACTGCATTTTCTCTGAAAAAAAGACAGTCTTTACTGCAAAAATCCTGCAAGGACTGACTATACTCACCAGAACAACTACATTAAACTGTAGTTGTTCTGGTGACTATAGTGTCCCTTTAAGTACTTGTGAATACTGTCTGTAATTTCCTTTAGTTGATGCACCTTGTTTTGAGTCATGCAATTACAATTTTCCTGCATGATTTTTGCAGAAATCATTTGCATATCTCTTACCATAGGTTTTTCCTTAATTTATACTGATGAAACATATATATTTTAAAATTCTGTCTTTTCCTGATCTTCATTTACTAACTTAATTTGATTTATCTAATTGAAATGCCCTTTTCTTATTTTTAAATTCTTGGTTTAACTTTGTACTCAGTGACTGTCATGGCAGAGCCGGTCACTTATCTGCTCCTGGGCAGCGGTTGCCACTCTCCAAGTCCCCTCTTCCCCTTCGCCCCTTCTCACCGCCGAGAAATACTGTAAGCATGCCGTCGCGGCAAGATGGCGGCTGCCATGCATACCCAGCGTTCTGGTCAAGGGGGAGGAGTTGTGGTCCTGACGAGGGGAGGTAAGCCAAGATGGCGCGGAGTCCCTGACCTCTTTTATAGCTCCTGTGTACCCCACCTACGGGGGGGAGGTGGCCGGTCATGGGATCCTGGCTCCCTATTTAAACCAAGCACGCCTTCCAGTCAGTGCTTGGTTATTTTCCTTGCTCTTGTATATCTGCTTATTGCGTTAATTCCCTACTTGTCTTCTTGGTTCCTGATCCTTGACTCCGTTATCGTCTACCCTTGCCTGCTACCTGACCTCACCCCTGATTGATCGACTACACAGAAACCTCAGTGTCTGTTGCACCCAAGTCTTGCTGCAGGTCTTTTACAGTCAGTTGAGGGTTTTTCACAACCTACCTTCTCAGAAATCTGGTTGCACCATTGATAGCTTCCTTTTTTTGCCCCATCCAGGTAGTGTAACCACTGTTCTTTCATGTTTGTACTTGCGAACTATGCTTTCAATGGTGTCTTTAGGAACATTCAGTGCTTATGTCAGGATTCTAACCTGACAACAAAAATATTGCTTTATTTATTCTGTTATATTTCCATATATAACAGT